GTGACCTTATACAAAGAGATACTGGAGAGCATGCTCTCTCTCTCTGCCTGCCATGTGACAACACAGTAGTAAGGCAGCCGCCTGCAAGCCAGAAAAAGAGCCCTCACCAGAACCCAACCATGCTGCCACCCCGATCTCAGACTTCCAGCCTCTAGAACTGTGAGAAATAAATTTCTGTTTTCTAAGCCACCCAGTCTATGGTATTTTGTTACGGCAGCTCAAGCAGACTAAGGCATTTGGTTTCTGTTCCACTTCTGTTATCTAGCGGTTCATCCAGTGACTTTTTCATAGCTATAGAAATCTTATTCTTTAGTAATTTCAGTTTTAGATGAAATTGCTGATATTGAGTGCATATATTCTGGATACTAACAAGTGCTTTACATTCATTCATTTAGACTTTACTACAACCCTATAAAGTAGGCCTTCGTATTTCTATTTTACAGCTGAAGAAATGAGGTTCAGGATATTTATGTAGTTGCCTGAGATCATACAGTTTATAAGCTGCAGAGCTGCGATGTTAAGTAATTCTTTTACACCCCCAAAACCCACACTCTTAACCCCACTGCATTTTATTCTTCACTGTTTTCTTAGTTCTCATTTCTTCCTCTCTCCAAGGCTGCCAGTGCCACGTTTCCTGTACTGCTCCTCTACCATTCTCTATATTTTGATCTTAGTCTCCTTGATTTGGGGGGACAGAATGGGGAGAGATAAAAGCACAACCAGCTACAGTAAAGATTGAATGTTGCTGTTTGAAGGAAGAGAAAAGCCTGCTTCTATTCTTCACTTATCTATTGGGCATGATGACCAACTGGTGAAACTTCCCTTCATAACAAGGCAGCTCTAGGACTGTGCTGCAAAGATGAATTCTTCAGATATGACATTAATTCCTAGTGTTATAATTTGTTACATGGAGACTTGACTCATTAGGATGGAACAGTTCAAACATTCTAGTTTCTCCAAGGGCAAAAGTTAGAAGTGTGGTTGTTGTGGGGTGAGGTACGTGATTGGTGTGGAATGCATCTCTCTTATTTCTCTTGTGTTTTCTGTATTTAAACCTGGAAATGATACATCTTAAAGGACATACTAGAGTAGTACTTCTTACACTTTTTGGTTGTAGGACCCCTTTGTACGCTTTAAAAATATTGAGGAGCTTTCATTTATGTGGATTATTTCTAGTATTATTTACTGTATTAAAAATTAATCTGAGATGATTCTAAAATCCATTACATGTTAACAGAAAAATTTATTTTCATGAAAGATACCTATATTTTCCAAAGAAAAAAACACATTGTTTTATATTTTTTGCAAATTTCTTTAATGTCTGGCTTAATAGAAGATAGCTGGATTCTCATACCTTCTTCTATTTTCATTATTTTGTGATACGTTGTTTCAGTCAAAGCATATGAAGAAAATCTGTCCTCACAATGATATACAGTTAGAAAAGGCAGAATTATTTTAATGACATTTTCAGGTAATAGTATATATTCTTCTTCGATCTCATACCAAACTGAACCAGTGACTCTTTCTTAAAGGTGTAGAATATGAAACCATGGTAATGACATTTTTATACGCTGTTACGTTAAAATTCATTGATTCATCTGATGCTTCAATTGTATCCTTTACCCATGCATCATTTATTATGGTTGAGCAAATGTTCCAAATGTTAATACTTTATACAGTACCAAAAATCACACATGTTAATATCAGCAACCATTTATCAGAAGAGTCTTTTGTTTTTAAAAAGCTGTCAAGGTCACAACAGCAGATATAAGTTTTCCAAAATTCTAATTTTTGTTTGAAAGCTTGAATCTTATCATTGACTTATATATCTTATCCATTGTTTCCCCAAAAGTGACAGACTTACTTGGTTAATTTTTGAGAAAATATCTGCAATATACACAAGTCTAAATAGTCATAGTTTGCCATATACTCTTTTAGTTAAAATGGTTCTCATAGGAGAAAAAAAGTGATTAGTTCAGTTCCCGGCTGTGCCTTTCCTTCAGACAACCATTGTGCTTTGATACACAGCAAAAGTACTTCATGTGTACTTCCTGTTTTGTCACACAGAAAATTACAAAGACATGCACATATGGGTCAGCTTTAATAAAATCAATAATTGTATTTTATTTGTTATTTTATTTTTGTTCATTGTGATTGTGGTCCTTAGGTGAAATAGACCCTTTTACTTTTCTTAATTGTGTGTGATGGTGAAGAATACAATGACACTAGTACAGTTCGGTGCTACTGCCTTGATTCTTGCTAAAGCACCAGCTGTTTTACCCACCATTGTTTTGAATCATCAGTACAAATGTCAATACTTTAAAAATGGCAAGTAATATCTTAGTCTTATTACGAAAATAGTGTGATGTTACAGATGTACTGAAATGGTCTGAGGGACCACACTTTGGGAACCACTGCACTGGAGAATCAGTGTTCTTCCCCAGTATTCACCAGCTTATCTCTTATTCTATCAAGTAACTCAGGGCGGAGAAGATAACTAATCTTCTGTTAATATATAGAGAGTGATTAGAAGAAATTAGAATGCTCCAGTCATTCAGGTACAGATATAATATAGGTAGTACACTATATTCTTTCCACGTCCTGTCATCTGAGCTAGGTGCTCTTCTGCTCTCTGATACACTTAGGCTCCATGCCCAGATGTCTTTTTTAGGAACATATCTTTAAGGAGTTTACTAAACTTAGTTGTAAGTGGCTAGCATATCTCTCTTCTGCCTTTGACTTACTGCTTTTAAAAAGGAATGAATGGGCTAAATTGACTTGTGCAACTTAATTTTCCACATCTTTACATATATTTCTCTCACAAAGAATCTTATCACTGACAAATCCACTAGCTATAAGGTTGTTAGCACTAAACAGCTCCTGAGAAATAGACTCCTGCATTTAAATATTCTACAAGACTTTCTTCATTGTCTCCTAAGCAAACAGTTATCTTATGTACATTATACCATATCAGACATCTATGTGGTATTTCGATGAAAATTTCCACCAGGATGGCTTTGATTCATCTTAAACATCAGTTGTCTCTTGACTATTATTTGGTACCAAAGGACTATAGGAATTCAGAAACATTCATCACCCTTCACGCTAGTATAATGGTGTTCACGGAGTACTTTTGTGCCACAAGAGTTGGACTTGGACCATAGATACCTGTTTCATATGAGTGCAGCCTCTTGGAGGAAAGGCTTAACTTAGATTCACAATAGGCACCTTCCATTGATAGATACCCTTGAGGACAATTCATTGTCCTCAGACACTAGTTCTCTGATCAGAGTTTCACACTTGGCAAGGAGGGAAGAAGCAAGAGCAAAGCTCCAGACCCCAGGAGAGAGGCTCTCTCTTTTACCCAAATCACAAGATTTTAGTGGCTGTAGTATAAAATTGAGTGATTGTTTGATTTGTACTGTAGTCACTTTTTCATAGGAGAGGAAATGAAAGGAAACTCTTAAAGGCAAGTTTTATAACATTAATAATTTCTTTGGCTGTGATGTACTTGATGTTTCTGAGAGCCTTTATTTTCTGGCTTGAAAACCTAACCAGTGAGCTTCAATTCTGTCACCATTTTAAATTCTACTTTTACTCTAAAGCAGATAGTACACATTTTGAAGGACCTACTCATGTTAAAACTCTTCAGTAGATAAAACTGTTGCCCAGTGAGTCACTAGCATGATTCTCTCCTTTTCAGTTCTTTACTAAAAGGGGTAATTTTACTTATAAAAAAGAGTAAGCACTGTGCACTTGCATGTCACTTTGTCATGTTTAGGGGATTTTTTTACTCATATTTTTCTCATTTGAGTTCTCAGGAAGGTGCAGGTACTTTTATCCTTTATTTATAAGAAGATTACCTAGCTTGTTGTCATCTACAAAGTTGATGGATAAAGAAGCTGAGCCATGTGATTTCTGATCTAGTGCTTTTCAACCATATCAAGTTTAGGACAGTGACAAAGCTCTGCCTTATGACTTACCCAGTCATAGCAGTCTAAGGATGAAACTATTTTTAGTTATCCCTCTTACTTTATCCTTATAATTATGTCCTATTTTTAAGCATCTACCTAAAAGGCATTAGAAAATACCAACTGCTGAGACTTCGGGCTAAAATCCTGAGGGCTCCTCTATTCTCATAATTCCTTGCCTCGCATTATGCTCACTCATTTTGGAGCACCGCCAGCTAAAACCTCCAATAACCTGCTGTCCTTGGTGTGGAAGTATGATTTAGTTTGGCCTAGCGATCACAATGTCAGGTTAATTCTTACTTCCCAGAGGTCCTGCTGTGTCCTCAACAAATATGTAACAGAAACAACCTTTGAATAAACTGGTGACTTTTCCTTTGTTCATTCGTTCAGTTATCAGACATTTAATGAATAATGTCAAGAATATGCTTTAAATGTTATTTATTTATAAAGAGCTTGCAAAGGAGATGGCTTATATTAATACCAAAGGTAATAACTAATAGTTAATAATGCAAAACTATGTACCAAGCCTTGTTCTCAGTACTTTATATATCTTACACCTGTCAACTGCTACAGGTTCCTTCTTGATTTCCTACTAGAAAATATATGCCAGACGTTCTTTGGCTTATTGCCTCTTTGTTTCTGAAGCAGCATAAGAACATATGGAAAAAGTGTTGGGATATTAATGAAGGGTACATGAGTGTACATGATACATGCTGCCTTCCAGGAATGAGGATGGCATGATGGTGCATAGTGCTTTCTAAAGAATAGGTATAAAAGATTAAACATGTTAGAAGATCATTAGTGTGAGTTTTCAATGATATATTTAGAGAGACACTGACTATTTTTACTGTTATCTTTTCCATATATAACTACTTTTCCCTTCTTTTCTTTTTCTCCACTCCCCATTAAGGATCATAATTTATTTAAAATTAAAAGATTTTATTGGTTTGTCCGTAGGAGTAAGAATAAGAGTATAATTTATAACTCTTAGATTTAAAGAAATATTATTAAAAATGTTGTATTTTTTAGGTAACTGAATGTGAAATATTTCTGTCACTTCTGGTGAAATTTCTGGATGGAGATAAACCACAGTGGCTACGAGCTGTTGCAGTGGAATCAATACACAGACTCTGTGTGCAGCCTCAGCTACTGAGGTAAAACTTTACTCAGCAGTATTTTGTTAAATGGATAGGTTAATATTTATGCTAACAGGAAGAGCTTAAATATTTATTTCAATAATAATTTCTAAACAAAGAAAATTGTGTATTGTATGTATATGGAGGGGTGTATGTGTGGGCAAAAAGTGTGGTTAGGGATTGCCATCAATTGAATTTACTGAGTTAATATGGCCAAGATAATTTTTTTAGAACACTGACCTCATTCTGAACCTTTGTCCAGAGTTAGTAAAATCACTCGGGTGTGCTGAAGAAGTTTTAAGTATAGCATTGAGACTGATTTATCAACATTACTTGCTATTAAAAAAAAATTAAACATTTTTAATCAAATATTTTCTCCAAAAACATTTAAAATTATTTTACAGGTCATTTTGTCAGTCCTATGATATGAAACAGCATTCTACCAAGGTTTTTCGTGATATTGTGAATGCACTGGGATCTTTTATCCAGTCCTTGTTTCTTGTCCCTCCGACTGGAAATCCTGCTACGACAAACCAAGCTGGTAAAGGCTTAGTCATATTTTGGTTTTTATATTCTGGCATAATTTACAATATTCAATATTCTGAGAGGATATTTACAGAAATCCTGTGACTAGAGAAATTGAGGTTACCTAAATATATACATTTATTTTATAATTTCTTATATTTCTTTATAGTATTTTAAGTTTTATATATAAATATAAAGATTTACACTTAAAGAATAATTTGATTTCACTGAGGTAACTATGTTTCTTTCCAGAATATATATTCTTCTCTGATATACTTTCAGTTCCTCTCATCACATAAGAACAAAAGTTTAGATGCTAATTTTCATTTTAGAAGAATCTTCATTTGGTGCCTCTCTTTAAAGAGTGTGGTTACTACTAAGGTAGTAACTAAGGAGGTCTGTTAGTCATTCTTTTAACAAAACAGGTGAACGTGATTTAAATTTGGAAATCAGTGTATAGCTTCTTGTTCCCTTTAACTTCTTTCTCTTCCATTTTTAACTTTCTGATTAGTGGTCTCTTTTGTCCTTTAATCCCACCTCTGATAAAAAGTGATTTAACAAAAGGTATGTTACATAGTTTGTCAGTATTTTTACTCATTAGTACCTTTTATATAAAGAAGGAAATGGTGTTTTGGGGAAACAGGGAGACTCTCTAGTAGCCAAAATAGGATTGGTAAATTTCATTTATTTGTGCAGTATCCATTCCTATAGCATAATTTTAAAAAATTGACCAAGTGTTTGAATATTATGGATTTGTAATTAAGTAGTAAATTGGTGTCTTTGCTTGCTTTCCCTTATCTAACAGGAAGCAATAATTCAGGTGGCCCTGTCTCGGCACCAGCTAACTCAGGAATGTTGGGGATTGGTGGAGGTGTTACTTTGCTACCAGCATTTGAATATAGGGGAACTTGGATACCTATTCTGACTGTAACAGTACAAGGCAGTGCTAAAGCAACCTAGTAAGTAGTAGTAGCATTATTTTGTAAGGAATGTTATTGTTGGGGTTTATATTTTATAGTAAAATGTTTCTCTCTGCATTATATTTAAAATTTTAGACCTACTATTTCTAACATATTTAAGAACTAATTTTCTTTTGTTATATTTTGAGAATTTTATCTAGGACTGGATTTTGTTTGTTTTCTTTTGTACTACTTGAGGACTATTAACAGCATAACAAAACAGAATGTGATTTCTTTACCTAAGGACCTATCCACTTGTTCTGTATGGCTTTTTGATTTAAGTATGTGGCTTGATTTCAGGCCTTGTGGACTTAGGTCTTCTGATACTGAGTTATCTTCAGCAAATTAGTTTACCTATTTAAAAATCTCAATGTACTCAACTATAAAATGGGAGTAGTGACATATCTACCTTTCAGGATTCTGTATGTGGATAGTTAAATGTTTGGCTGATCACATTTTTAGGGTTTACCACATGGAACTTTTAGTTTAATTAATTAAAGTGTTTAATGGATTCCACATGTGTTATTTAAAAATTTGTCATTATGGGGCTTCCCTGATGGCGCAGTGGTTGAGAGTCCACCTGCCGATGCAGGGGACACGGGTTCGTGCCCCAGTCCGGGAAGATCCCACATGCCGTGGAGTGGCTGGGCCCATGAGCCATGGCTGCTGAGCCTGCGGTCCGGAGCCTGTGCTCCGCAACGGGAGAGGCCACGGCAGTGAGAGGCCTGCGTACTGCAAACAAACAAACAAACAAACAAAACAAAAATTTGTCATTAGACATTTCAGTTTAACAACTACATATTCAACAGTGTATTGTTGATTTTTCTTAAGTAAGTCTTAGTGAACTGTAGTGCTTACAGAGATAAAGCAACCAATACTACATGTGTTTAACATTGCCACAGTTGTGAGGCAGTTAACTAATATATTTTGAGTAATTGATATGCATAATTAAAACACTGTTCCAGTGACAGTAAATCAAGACTTAAACTGTGAAGCAGAATCTCTGACTAGTTTAAATCATGAATTTGTATGATATGTCAGCCTGCATTGTATCATCACAATGATATTTTACTGTGCAGCTTTTTATTTTGCCTAAAATTATAAAAGTAAAGAGTCATGGAGGACAGAAATATTGTTATTCTTAGTCACTTAAAAGATTGAAGTTACTGTCTCATATAGGCTTTGCCTTGCTACAAAGGCTAATGATTGAGTATACTACAGTATCAAGTTATAAAAGAATCAGATTTCTAGCACTGAAGGAGACATTAATAATTATCTCATTCATTACCCCACCTCATTTTTTAAATTGAAACAATCCCAACACAAAACAAAATTGCTGCTCTTGTGGACCTTACATTTTAGTGAGTGAGATAGTCAATAAAGATGCAAATAAACATGTAGTATCACGTTGGGTAATGGTTAACTGTTTGAAGAAAAAGCAAGTTATAAGGGTGTAGAGAGTGATCACAGTGAAGATAGGAACAGAAAGGATATATCTGAGGAAATAAGAGTGAGCAAAGACATAATTATTATTTTTTTAACATCTTTATTGAAGTATAATTGCTTTACAATGTTGTGTTAATTTCTGCTGTATAACAAGGTGAATCAGCTATATGTATACCTATATCCCCATATCTCTTCCCTCTTGGGTCTCCCTCCTACCCTCCCTATCCCACCCCTTTAGGTGGTCACAAAGCACCAAGTTGATCTCCCTGTGCTATGTGGCTGCTTCCCACTAGCTATCTATTTTACATTGGTAGTATATATAACTCCATACCACACTCTCACTTTGTCCCAGCTTACCCTTCCCCCATCCTGTGTCCTCAAGTCCATTCTCTACGTCTGCATCTTTATTCCTGTCCTGCCCCTACGTTCTTCAGAACTTTTTTTTTTTTAGATTCCATGTATATGTGTTAGCATATGGTATTTGTTTTTCTCTTTCTGACTTACTTCACTCTGTATGACAGACTCTAGGTCCATCCACCTCACTACAAATAACTCAATTTCATTTCTTTTTATGGCTGAGTAATATTCCATTGTATATATGTGCCACATCTTCTTTATCCATTCATCTTTTGATGGACATTTAGGTTGCTTCCATGTCCTAGCTATTGTAAATAGTGCTGCAATGAACATTGTGGTGCATGACTCTAATTATGGTTTTCTCAGGGTATATGCCCAGTAGTGGGATTGCTGGGTCGTATGGTAGTTCTATTTTTAGTTTCCTAAGGAACCTCCATACTGTTTTCCATAGTGTATCAATTTACATTCCCACCGACAGTGCAAGAGGGTTCCCTTTTCTGCACACCCTCTCCAGCCTTTATTGTTTGTAGATTTTTTGATGATGGCCATTCTGACTGGTGTGAGCTGCTACCTCATTGTAGTTTTGATTTGCATTTCTCTAATGATTAGTGATGTTGAGCATCCTTTCATGTGTTTGTTGGCAATCTGTATGTCTTCTTTGGAGAGATGTCTGTTTAGATCTTCTGCCCATTTTTGGATTGGGTAGTTTGTGTTTTTGATATTGAGCTGCATGAGATTCATCCTTTGTCAGTTGCTTCATTTGCAAATATTTTCTCCCATTCTGAGGGTTGTCTTTTCGTCTTGTTTATGTTTTCCTTAGCTGTGCAAAAGCTTTTAAGTTTCATTAGGTCCCATTTGTTTATTTTTGTTTTTATTTCCATTTCTCTAGGAGGTGGGTCAAAAAGGATCTTGCTGTGATTTATGTCATACAGTGTTCTGCCTATGTTTTCCTCTAAGAGTTTTATAGTGTCTGGCCTTACATTTAGGTCTTTAATCCTTTTAGAGTTTATTTCTGTATATGGTGTTAGGCAGTGTTCTAATTTCATTCTTTTACATGTAGTTGTCCAGTTTTCCCAGCACCACTTATTGAAGAGGCTGCCTTTTCCCCATTGTGTATTCTTGCCTCCTTTATCAAAAATAAGGTGACCATATGTGCATGGGTTTATCTCTGGGCTTTCTGTCCTGTTCCATTGATCTATATTTCTGTTTTTGTACCATACTGTCTTGATTACTGTAGCTTTGTAGTATAGTCTGAAGTCAGGGAGCCTGATTCCTCCAGCTCTGTTTTTCTTTCTCAAGATTGCTTTGGCTATTTGGGGTCTTTTGTGTTTCCATACAAATTGTGAAATTTTTTGTTCTAGTTCTGTGAAAAATGCCATTGGTAGTTTGATAGGGATTGCATTGAATTTGTAAATTGCTTTGGGTAGTATAGTCATTTTCACAATGTTGATTCTTCCAATCCAAGAACATGGCATGTCTCTCCATCTGTTTGTATCGTCTTTAATTTCTTTCATCAGTGTCTTATAGTTTTCTGCATACAGGACTTTTATCTCCTTAGGTAGGTTTATTCCTACATATTTTATTCGTTTTGTCGCAGTGGTAAATGGGAGTGTTTCCTTAATTTCACTTCCACATTTTTCATCATTAGTGTATAGGAGTGCAAGAGATTTCTATGCATTAATTTTGTATCCTGCTACTTTACCAAATTCATTGATTAGCTCTAGTAGTTTTATGGTAGCATCTTTAGGATTCTCTATGTATAGTATCATTTCATCTGCAAACAGTGGCAGTTTTACTTCTTTCTGATTTGGATTCCTTTTATTTCTTTTTCTTCTCTGATGGCTGTGGCTCAAACTTCCAAAACAATGTTGAATCATAGTGGTGAGAGTGGGCAGCCTTGTCTTGTTCCTGATCTTAGTGGAAATGGTTTCAGTTTTTCACCATTGAGGGCGATGTTGGCTGTGGGCTTGTCATATATGGCCTTTATTCTGTTGAGGAAAGTTCCCTTTATGCCTATTTTCTGGAGAGTTTTTATCATAAATGGGTGTTGAATTTTGTCGAACGCTTTCTCGGCATCTATTGAGATGATCATACGGTTTTTCTCCTTCAATTTGTTAACATGGTGTATCACATTGATTGATTTGCGTATACTGAAGAATCCTTGCATTCCTGGGGTAAACCCCACTTGATCATGGTGTATGATCCTTTTAATGTGCTGTTGAATTCTGCTTGCTAGTATTTTGTTGAGGATTTTTGCATCTATGTTCATCAGTGATATTGGCCTGTAGTTTTCTTTCTTTGTGACATCTCTGTCTGGTTTTGGTATCAGGGTGATGGTGGCCTTGTAGAATGAGTTTGGGAGTGTTCTTCCCTCTGCTATATTTTAGAAGTATTTGAGAAGGATAGGTGTTAGCTTTTCTCTAAATGTTTGATAGAATTCACCTGTGAAGCCATCTGGTCCTGGACTCTTGTTTGTTGGAAGATTTTAAATCACAGTCTCAATTTCAGTGCTTGTGACTGGTCTGTTTATATTTCCTATTTCTTCCTGGTTCAGTCTCAGAAGGTTGTGCTTTTCTAAGAATGTGTCCATTTCTTCCAGGCTGTCCATTTTATTGGCATATAGTTGCTTGTAGTAATCTCTCATGATCCTTTGTATTTCTGCAATGTCAGTTGTTACTTCTCCTTTTTCATTTCTAATTCTATTGATTTGGGTCTTCTCCCTTTTTTTCTTGATGAGTCTGACTAATGGTTTATCAATTGTGTTTATCTTCTCAATGAACCAGCTTTTAGTTTTATTGATCTTTGCTATTGTTTCCTTCATTTCTTTTTCATTTATTTCTGATCTGATCTTTATGATTTCTTTCCTTCTGCTAACTTTGGGGGTTCTTTTGTTCTTCTTTCTCTGATTGCTTTAGGTGTAAGGTTTGGTTGTTTATTTGAGATGTTTCTTGTTTCTTGAGGTAGGATTGTATTTCTATAAACTTCCCGCTTAGAACTGCTTTTACTTCATCCCATAGGTTTTGGATCATTGTGTTTTCATTGTCATTTGTTTCTAGATATTTTTTGATATCCTCTTTGATTTCTTCAGTGATCTCTTGATTATTTAGTAGTGTATTGTTTAGCCTCCATATGTTTGCTTTTTTTACAGGTTTTTTCCTGTAACTGATATCTAGTCTCATAGCGTTGTGGTCAGAAAAGATACTTGATATGATTTCAGTTTTCTTAAATTTACCAAGGCTTGATTTGTGACCCAGGATATGATCTCTCCTGTAGAATGTTCCATGAGCACTTGAGAAGAATGTGTATTCTGTTGTTTTTGGATCGAATGTCCTATAAATATCAGTCAGGTCCATCTTGTTTAGTGTGTCATTTAACGCTTGTGTTTACTTATTTATTTTCATTTTGGATGATATGTCCATTGGTGAAAGTGGGGTGTTAAAGTCCCCTACTATAATTGTGTTTCTGTTGATATCCTCTTTTATGGCTGTTAGCATCTGTCTTATGTATTGAGGTGCTCCTATGTTGGGTGCATAAATATTTATAATTTTTGTATCTTCTTCTTGGATTGATCCCTTGGTCATTGTGTAGTGTCATTCTTTGTCTCTTATAATAGTCTTTATTTTAAAGTCTATTTTGTCTGATATGAGAATTGCTACTCCAGCTTTCTTTTGATTTCCATTTGCATGGAATATCTTTTTCCATCCCCTCACTTTCAGTCTGTATGTGTCTCTAGGTCTGAAGTGGGTCTCTTGTAGAGAGCATATATATGGGTCTTATTTTTGTATCCATTCAGCCAGTCTGTGTCTTTTGGTTGGAGCATTTAATCCATTTACATTTAAGGTAGTTATCGATATGTATCGATACTCACTTCTGAAATCATAAATAGACAGAAAATACTGGGTTTCTTTTGTAAATGGGTTAGTATGTTCACATTGGGACCTACCTGTTGAATTGGTATCTTTTATTCATTGTGAGTTTTAGTATAAAATGATTTTCACTGTTTTCTTTGAAGACATACATATAAATGTTAATTGTGTATACAGTTCTTTTTTGACTTCTTAAGTGTGTAATAATTTGAAAACTTAAGTGACATATAGACAAGTAGTTTTGACATAATTAATGACAGTATATTCTTTCAGATTTATTATACTATGGCTCCCTTCAAAGTTGGACTTGTGACAGTTTTTTCAACTTGACCTTAATTTTAAAATATTTAAATAAATGGGTTACCTTTAATCTAAAAGTGGAGTTTGTGTAGTAATTACAATAAAGCAGCACTGAAACAGTTAAAGTGTGGGTTTGTTTAGGTTTGTGGTATAAATTACCTTTTTCTCTTAACTATTCTGGTGCTTAAAGTCTGTACCACAGAATTTGGGAATTAGAGTTTGTGATGTTTAGGAGTATTTTATCTGTTTTAGATGCATTTTCCCAATAGATGATATATTCTTTGAGAACAGAGATTTGTCTAACAAGATGCTTGGCACTGATTGGTTTAGTATGTGGCTCTTTAAGGCTAATTGGCCTGGCAAAGATTAAACCCATAAACTTCACTTCCCCATTTGAGCTTAAATATCTTGATCGATAATATAAATATGTTAGTATTGGTTACCTAAATTTTAAAAATACTGAGAATTGGCCCATATGGGTTAAACTGATAGGCTTTAGAGTCGGACTTGGGTTAAAAACTGCTGACTGATAACTGTCACCCTAGTTCACAGTTTCATCATCTGTATCTCTTAGGGTTTTTGTGAGGAGTTAAATGAGGTACATTAAAAAAAAAAACCCTTAGTATCCCAGGCTGAGAGTAAATTGCTCAATAAATGATAGGTATACATAGGTGTTTTTATTGTTTATTGTGAGTTTTACATCTTTATAAATTTCCTACCTTATACTGATTATGATTAGGAGACTTTTAGAATTTGAGTTTGGAAATTACTTTTATTAGCTTTTCTTATTACGATCTTTAGTGATTTCAATTTTGTTTTTGAGATAGAAGTAACATAGGATTAAATTTGCCCTTTTACAATTGTACAGTTCATGGTTTTATTATATTCAGACGTTAGGCAACCATAAGCAGCATCTAATTTCAGAACTTTTTCGTCACCCCAGAGGAAAAAAAAGCCATATCCATAAGCAGTCATCCTGCAATCTCCCTTTCCCTACCCCTTAGCAACTACTAATCTACTTTCTCTGTTGATTTGCTTATTCTGGATATTTCATATGAATGGAATCATACAATAAATATTCTTGTGTGTCAGGCTTCTTTTATTCAGCATAATGTTTTGAAGGTTCATCTATGTTGCAGGTTGTACCAGTACTTTCTGTTTGTGGCTGAATAATATTCCACCTTATGGTAGTACCACATTTTGTTTATTTCATTGTCAGTTGATGGGCATTTGGGTTGTTTCCACTTTTTGGCTATGAATAATGCTGCTATGAGCATTTGCCTGCAAGTTTTTGCATAGATATTTTCATTTCTACTGGATGTATACGTAGGGGTGGAATTGCTGGGCCATGTAGTTACTCTATGTTTTACTTTCTGTTGAACTGCCAAGCTGTTTTCCCAAGCAACCACACCATTTTACATTTTCACCAACAATGTGTGAGGGTTTCAGTTTCACCACATCCTTAGCAATACTTGTTACTGTCTTTTGATTATAGCCGTCCTAGTGGGTAAGTGGTATCTTACTGTGTTTCAAATTGACATTGAGTATCTCATTCATGTGCTTATTGTCCATTTATATATCATCTTGGGAGAAATATCTATTGAAATCCTTTGCTCCTTTTTAGTTGGGTTTTCTTTTTATTATTATTGAGTTGTGAAAGTTCTTACATATTCAACATCTAGTCCCTTATCAGATATATGATTTCCAAAAATTTTCTTGCATTCTGTGGATTGTCTTTTCATTTTCTTGATAGTGTCCTTCAGAGCACGATCATTTTTACTTTTGATGAATTCAGTTTATCTGTTTTTCCTTTGGTCACTTATGCATTTTGATATCATACCTAACCATTTCATAATTTGAGGTCATAAAGATTTTTGCCCATGTTTTCTTCTAAGAGTTTTTAGTTTTACATCTTACATTTAGGTCATTGATTCATTTTGAGTTCATTTTTGTATATGGTATGAGGTAAGGCTCCAGTATCACTCTTTTACATGTGAATATCCGTTAGTCCTTTCCCCATTGAATTATTCTTTCTCCATTGAATTATCTTGACAGATTTCCATTTTAAGGAATTTAAAACCTGTTTGTCATGATTTGAAACAAAAGGTTTGTTGTCTTTCCGTCTGAAAGCTCTGTCCTAATTACGGAGTATAACTTGCTCTAAAATTTGAACGTGACACACTGATGCTTTAAGTATTACCTTACCCTGTTGGCCGATTGTATCTGAGATGATAGGATGACAGATGAGCTGGATATCTCACAGTAATAATTTTCCCTAGTATGAAAGCTTCTTTTCCTCTTTATAGGATTGATTTGATCTTATAAGATCTTATTTTACTTATTTATTACCTTTTTAAAATTACAGTTAATTTACAATATTGTGTTAGTTTCAAGTGTACAGCAAAGTGATTTCAGTTATACATAAATATTTGTAGGTACTCTTTTTCAGATTCTTTTCCATTACAGGTTATTACAGGATATTGAGTATAGTCCCCTGTGCTATATAGTAGGTCCTTGTTGTTTACCGATTTTATATAGCAGCTTATTTTAAAAGCAGCTAAGTCAGAGTTTGAGATGGCTTGTAATCTGTCTTTTTCTATTTTGTATGTAAGTATTTTTTCTAATGTCAACAATTAATGAAAATACTGGCACAACTTGGGGGAGAGGCAAAAAGTGAATTATTAAAATAATCAGTTATCATACTGGTCAGGCCTTAATTTTTCTAATCAGTTTCTTAGAATACCATGAAGGGATCTGTCCTCCAAAGGAAACCCAGTAGTGACCATTTACTTTTGCTATTCTGTTAATCTTAATTTCTGTAGTCTACAGATTATGGAAATAGTTATATGTATTTTCATCATTGTGGCTTCTCATTAGCATCTGATTTTTTCATAATTTCAGCCTAGAGATGTTGGACAAAGTTGAGCCCCCGACTATACCAGAAGGTTATGCTATGTCCGTGGCATTCCATTGTTTGCTAGACCTTGTACGTGGAATCACTAGTATGATTGAAGGAGAGTTAGGAGAGGTTGAAACAGAATGTCAGACAACTACCACTGAAGCAGTTTCTTCACCAGCACAGTCATCAGAACAGCAAGAATTACAGTCAACATCAGACCAAATGGATAAAGCAATAGGTATATTATTATGATTCTGTATTTTTAATTTTTATTTTGAAATACTTTTAAATTTACAGGGAAATTGCAAAAATAATAGTTTCCATATATCCTTCACCATGATATTCCAATTGTTAACTACAATATTTGCATTATCATTCTCTCTATATACATGTCACTATACTTTTTTTTGAACTATTTGAGAATAAGTTGCAGACATGATGCCCATTACCCCTGAGTACTTTAAAGTGTATTTTCGAAAAATAAGGACAGTTTTCTACTTAACCACAGTATAGTCACCATCAGAAATTTAGCATCAATTCAATATGTCATCGAATCCCAAATGTCCTTCAAATTTTGCCATTTGCCTCAGTGATGTCCTTTATGGTCTAGGATTACATGTTGAATTCAGTTGCATGTCTCTATACCCTCCTTCAGTATGGAACAATTCCTTAATTTTTCCATGTTTTATATGACCTTGCCATTTTTGAAGAGAACAGCCCAGTCTACTTGGGTTTGTTTTTGTTTCCTCATAATTAGATTCAATATATTCATTTTTGGCAGAGCTACCACAGAAATGTTGCTATGCTATACACTGGTGATGTTAACTTTTATCATTTGGTTAGTATGATGTGTGCCTTGTTTCTTCAGTATAAAGTTAATTATTAACTTTTTCTGGAGAAATACTTTGAGACATCTGTAAAAGAGAGCTTTCCCTTCTTCCTCATTTATTTTGTTTCATTTATTTATTTGTATTAGTGTAGACTCTCGGATTCCTATTTTATTCAAAGAGTTACAATCTTTGATTATGATTATTTGGTTTAATGCTCATTATCCCTGACATGGCCATTTGGGACCCCTTTCAAGCTAGCCCCTGTGTCCTTTTATCATCCCATGTCCTTTTGTCATTTTCTGAGCACTACCTTACTGCCTGATACAGCAAAATGTTCTAAGGTCATCTTGGATTTTTCTTGCCTAACCTAGGAGTCAGTTATTTTTCCAAGGAGCCCTAGTTCCTTTTAGTGGAGAATAGTATTTAGAAACTAACACATGGCCATTAGGTATGCTTCTTGGTACGTGAATAGAAATACACACATACATGAGCACACATCTATCTACATTTTAAAAATATGTATCTTGGGACTTCCCTCGTGGTGCAGTGGTTAAGAATCTACCTGCCAATGCAGGGGACACATTCGAACCCTGGTCTGGGAAAATTCCACATACTGCGGAGCAGTTAAGCCCATGCGCCACAACTACTAAGCCTGCGCTCTAGAGCCTGCAAGCCACAACTATTGAAGCCTGAGCGCCGAGAGCCCGTGCTCTGCAACAGGAGAAGCCACCACAATGAGAAGCCTACGTACTGCAACAAAGTGTAGCCCCCAATCGCCGCAACTAGAGAAAGCCTGTGCGCGGCAATGAAGACCCCACACAGCCATAAATAAATAAATAAATTTTTAAGAAGATCTTCAAAAAATAAATAAATAAAAATAAAAACATATATCTCTCTATATTGAATACCATGAGGTCACACCAATCTTTTCAATTCCAGTTTAATACCACAGGGTTTACTTTTAACTTTCCATATTTGAAATTTCCTTCTCCAACAGTGAGAAACTTGATCCTGTTTTACTCTGTTTATTTACTTACTTGCACGATATACAGTGTATGTAACCAGTCTCGTGGCTGAGCCTGCTTATCACAGTGTCTCACTGCCAGCTGGTCATACAGGCCGAAAGTTTGGCCCAATGAAATGGAAGGGAATAGGAACTGATATTATATATATAAATATATGTATATATTTTGAAGATCACTTTTGTAAGAAAGATCTTATCATTGATATGTTAAAACAACTCAGTTTTAAAACTTCTTGGGAATTCCCTGGCAGTCCAGTGTTTAGGACTTTTGCGCTCTCACTGCTGAGGGACCAGGTTCCATCCCTGGTTGGGGAACTAAGATCCCACAAGCCACACAGCACAACCAAAAAAAAAAAAGACTTCTTGAATTCTGAAACTATGGTATGGTTTAAAATTTTTCATTTATTCAGATATATATTAAATGTTACAGCTTTATTATTTAATAATTGAGTTGTTTTTGGAATATTTGCTATATTACCAAGTGATAAGGGGGATTATAGAGTTTGACATTGTCAAGTGCTGTGACATCTATAATTATCGTTAAATATTGTTTGTTTTTCCTTTAAGTTAGTAGAGCTGTTTGGGAAGAAATGGTGAATGCCTGCTGGTGTGGTCTGCTTGCTGCACTCTCACTCCTTCTTGATGCCAGGTATTAAGTCTTTGTAAGTTTTATATTGCATGTGGCAGTTATAAAGAAAACAACAAACCATTAAAATGGTTTCCTTAAATTTATCCTGAGAATTATTTCCTAATACTAGTTTTTATGTTCGTGGAATGTTATTATTTTTCTGCCATCCTCTTCCCCCGTCCTATTGTCACATGTTATAATGGAAAATACAATCCTAAAATAATAGAATGCCTTTTTCTTTTCTTTTCTTTTCTTTTTAACATCTTTATTGGAGTATAATTGCTTTACAATGGTGTGTTAGTATCTGCTGTATAACAAAGTGAATCAATATACATATATCCCCATATCTCCTCCCTCTTGCATCTCCCTTCCCCCCTCCCTATCCCACCCCTCTAGGTGGACTCAAAGCACCGAGTTGATCTCCCTGTGCTATGCTATGTGGCTGCTTCCCACTAGCTATCTATTTTACATTTGGTAGTATATGTATGTCAGTGCCACTCTCTCACTTAGTCCCAGCTTACCCTTCCCCCTCCCCATGTCCTCAAGTCCATTCTCTACATCTGTGTCTTTATTCCTGCCCTGCCCCTAGGTTCATCAGAATCTTTTTTCTTTTTTTTTTAGATTCCATATATATGTGTTAGCATACGGTATTTGTTTTTCTCTTTTTGACTTACTTCACTCTGTATGACAGACTCTAGGTCCATCCACCTTGCTACAAATAACTCAATTTTGTTTCTTTTTATGGCTGAGTAATATTCCATTGTATATATATGCCACATCTTCTTTATCCACAGAATGCCTTTTTCATTTTAAGCTTTACTACTACTTTTACAATGATGATGATTATATTATTCAATTTTTTTATGTTTTTCTTTAGAATTATAGAATTTACTGATTTTAAAATGCTTGATATTTTTAAGTTATATCTTTGAGTTCTTGACCATTTTCTTCATTAATGAATATATGTGTCATAAATTGCTTTTAACCAGTTCAAATTTTCAGATGTTTATTAGTTAAAAGTTCTTCTTAAGTAGACTGATTTTGACAATGTTTTAAATAGATTTTCTTAAAACTTTACTGACTGCCTAATTCCACATCATGTTTGGCAGCATAATTTAAAAGAAATTAATCATACTAAATAAAATACTTTTTCTTTTCAGCACAGATGAAGCTGCCACTGAGAATATTTTAAAAGCTGAACTGACTATGGCTGCTCTTTGTGGAAGACTGGGCCTTGTAACTTCAAGAGATGCCTTTATAACTGCAATATGCAAAGGTTCCCTGCCTCCCCATTATGCTCTTACTGTATTGAATACCACCACTGCAGCCACACTTTCCAACAAATGTAAGATTTCAGCTTCCTCTGAGTTCTCTTCATCTATCGGGGTGACATGGCATAGGGAAGAGATTATAGAAATTCTGAGTCCAAGCCTCTGCTCTTCCACTCACTGAGTCTCTGACCTCTATGGGAAGTTAATGTCCCTAAGCCTCAATTTCTTCCATCTTTTTAAAACAGTGGATGTGGGAGTAGGGCAGAATAATACCAATTTTAAACAGTGATTGTGAGGATAAAAGAAGATAAATCTAGAAGTCCTTTGTAAACTCTAGCATACTGTTGAAATGGGAGTGGTTAGTTTGTTTTGTTTTTAATGGAACTAGTAGAACAGTAATGTTTGCCACCACTTAGATTAAGTTGACATTCAAAAAACTTTTTTTTCTTGTTGATTACTTTGTTACGTGTTACATGTCATATAAAAAAATTTCAGTGTGATGCTCAGTTTTCAAACTGAAAATGTGAGTATTGGTCTCTCTTCAACTTTAAGTAGAAAAGTTTACTGGGAATACATGTTTAAAATAGTAAGTGTCCTAAATTCTATTTTGCTTGTGAAGCAATCTACCAAAGTTTTATAATTTGTTAAAGTTATATATAAAATTACTTAATATTTGCCTAACTTGTCTTTGTTTTTTCACCTCCTTAGTTTTCAAAATGTTTGCATATAGATAATAGGTAACTAAATAAATGTCATAGTTGAACTTATTTTAATCAAATTAATGTTTTAAAATATAACATTACTTTGAGTACAACGTGAAAAGTATATTTTAATTATTTAGGTTTTCCTTTGTGTTCTAGCATATTCCATTCAGGGCCAAAGTGTTATGATGATCAGTCCATCAAGTGAATCTCACCAGCAAGTTGTGGCAGTGGGTCAACCGCTAGCAGTCCAGCCTCAAGGGACAGTAATGGTAAAGTACTTTTTCTTTTCTTGGTAACCAGTTAATACTAATTAACTATCAAGGAAATCTTTCATACCTTTTTTAATGTTTCTCAAAATTCATCATTATACTTACTTTTATCTGAATGATACTTTTAGAAAAACTAGATAAATATGGAGTGACATTATTATAACCAACTATGATAACACAACTTTTAAGCAAATGAATTTGTTCTGTACAAAACCATCCAAGCCTATTTTGTTAATATTTTTGTTTTTTTAGTAAAAAAATTTGAATACGTTAATACTTCTTTATAAGCTTGTAATTTTCAAGAATGCATAACAGTTCTTACAAATATATCCTTTTTTAATATAGCTAACTTCCAAAAATATCCAGTGTATGAGGACTTTACTTAACTTGGCACACTGCCATGGGGCTGTTCTTGGAACATCATGGCAACTTGTCTTGGCAACTCTACAGGTATGTTGTAGCCTCTGGGTCAGAGGCCAATGTTGTTTTTATATCTCACCAGTGCCTATTGGTCCTTTGGGCAGGCCTGAATAGACAGTAAGTATGAAAAAGGAGAAGTCAGAAAAAGAAAAAAGACATGGCTCATATTGTACAAAGCAATGGGATGTTTCTTATAATGGCCTGTTCTACTGCCTATGCTTGGTGGAATAAGTTTTTTGTATGAATATCAATTACTAATTTATATTTAGTTATTAGATACCTACTACTGATTTTAGTTTTAGTTACTGGAATTTTTGTAGGTTTATAAATTTCTTTGTTTTGATTTTTTTTTTTTTTTTACAGCATCTAGTATGGATTCTGGGATTAAAGCCTAGTAGTGGTGGTGCCTTGAAACCTGGGAGAGCTGTAGAAGGACCCAGTACAGTAAGCTCTAGTCATTCTTACTCAATTAGTACTTTGCAAAATGTTTATATGTTACATTTAATTTTATTCTCCTCTTAGGTTCTAACAACAGCAGTGATGACAGATTTGCCAGTGATTTCCAACATACTTTCAAGATTGTTTGAAAGCTCACAGTAAGAGTCAGTTTTTTAATTGATACAAACATTATTGTTAGCTGTATATTTTAGATCAGAATGTCTTATTTCATCATTTTTTTTTTTTTAGGTATCTTGATGACGTATCATTGCATCATTTAATAAATGCACTTTGTTCCTTATCCCTAGAAGCAATGGATATGGCCTATGGAAATAATAAGGTGTGATATTCTACCTTTCTGTGTTAAATATGGTGTATTATTTTGTTTAATAAGGTGTATATTCATTATGATCTTAGCGTTTTACAAGTGGGACTAATACCTTGTAGGCTAGCCCTGTTCTGTTGGGTTTTTATATTTATGGTTGTTATTTGTTGAAGGGGGAGTGAAGAGGACATTTTTTGGCTTATGGTATGTGCCAATATGTATTATGATTTTAAATTGTGTCCATTTCTCTCATGTACTGAATATTTTTTAAAATATTTCTATAAAGAATAATTCAACACCACATTTATAAATGTGTTCCACAAAATGTTACAATAATCCTCATGACTACAACTTATGATTGGAGCAGTACAAGTTTTAAATCAAGGAATATATGTCTCAATTTCTCTTGCCTTCGTTGGGCTGGAAAATAAGGTGTTAATCATTTCTTTCTGAAGGTAATGATTCTCCCTACCTTGAAAATTAAGCTTTTGCTTTGTTTGTTGACTAAATGAATAGAACAGTACTTTTGAGAACATTTCTTTCTATACTCAAAATATCATTTTCTGTTAAACTTGGAAAAGCATGGGAATATTTGGGTTTATTTATACCTTAGAAATTATTTAAAATAAAATACTTTCTACATTTTAAAATGAATAAATATAGTACTTGGACCATTTACAAATAAATGAAGAAACCCAGAAAATAATTAGAAAAGCAGAGAATGCAGCTTATGGTTTATTTAATATCCAACTGTAGGATCCAAAATTATGTTGTCTGCCTAGTCCTTAATTATAATTCTGGGTACTGTGGCTTGTCATCTTGGCTCATGTAATTCATTTAAAGATTAGCCAATAAGATCTTATTGGGACAAAGTTTTGTATATTAAAGCACGTAGAGAATTACATAAACATGCAGGTATTTGAAAATATATATTATAGTTTACTCCAAATCAAGGCAAGGATAATATGAAACACAGTGAAGTAATCAAATTCTTGATACCTTCAATAATCCTACATCCTTAAGATTAATTCTTAACACAAAAGTATAATATTTTTAATAGAGTACCTTAATGAAATCTGAGCAAGTTTATATGGTAATGGCTTGAGAATTTATGTATTCACTCAACAAGTACAGTATGTTTACTATGTACATGACACTCTGCTAGAAAATATAAAGGAAATGTAAGATTTCTACTTTCAAAGAGCATGTAAACCACTTGGCCCATGGATAAGTGGCAGTTAAGGTGGTAAGAGAGTCTAAATAAATGGTATAGATATTAAGTGATATGAGACTTATTTTCTGAATCCTTATTGACTTGTTACATAAGATTTTTTAGTACATATTTTTACTAAAATGAATTAAAACTAATCAAGATAAATTAAATTTGTGATTGGAGCTGAATATTCAAGGAACAGTAGGAGATATATGTGTATGAAAGGGCAGGTTCATGGAAGTCAAAAGAGAAAAATGTTACATGAAGTCGGGATCAATGAGGATTGAGAAAAAAATAGATTTGAGTATTATTAGTTTATTGTTCACCTTGAGGAGTATAATTTCAATAGAGTTGTAGGAGTAGCTGTGATATTTCAGGGAGGCTTGGGGGGAACAGATGTTGAGAAAATGGATACACTGGAATAGAGATGACTTCCCTGAGAATGGGGTCACATCTCTCCATTTTAGGGTTTAATTTTGTAAAGTAATGTAGTGAATAAGGAATGGAAATAAAAGTTTTTAGAAGTATTCAAGTATGAACTTTATAAAAATTATTTTTATGGAGGTGTAAAACAGTTTATTATTCAGTTGTGCTTTCTATAAAAATTTATAAATGTTCAGATGTTAAAATAAGTAGAAACGTTTGTATTTTTTTACTTTTTTTTAAAGTTTATCAATGTCAGCTGTTCTGAGTGAGTTATATAGCTTAGGAATTAAAATGTATATATCATTGTCCTTTAGGTGTGGCTTTAAAGTGACCAGTCATCTCATTTTTGGTTCTCACTTCAGGAATTTGTGCTAATGTGTTGAGGAGGTAGCTGATGGTAAAGCTTGCAAATTCTTTCTTAGAAGGGGGCAATATTGATGATATTTGTGTAGGCATATTACCAGACTCAGTATCACAACAACAAAAATAATTAAAGAGCTATTATTCTTTGTTTACTGTATGTCAGGTACTAACGTATTTTTATTTAATCACTTAAGACAACTCTGTCAGGTTCAGTAGTAATAACCCCTTTTTACAGATGAAATATAAAACTAGCTTAAATAACCTGCCTGGGGTCACCTATTTAGTAATTGGTAGAGCTTGGATTTGAACCCACATATGTCTCATTCCAGAGCTCCATTCTTTTTTTTTTTAAATTTATTTATTTTCTTTATTTAATTTTTGGCTGCATTGGGCCTTCGTTGCTGCACGCAGGCTTTTTCTCTAGTTTCAGAGAGCGGGGGCTACTCTTCATTGTGGTGAGCAGGCTTCTCACTGCGATGGCGTCTCTTGTTGCGTAGCACCAGCCCTAGGCGTGCAGGCTTCAGTAGTTGTTGAGCACAGGCTCAGTAGTTGTGGCTTGCAGGCTCAGTAGTTGTGGTGCATGGGCTTAGTTGCTCAGCGCCACGTGGGATCTTCCCGGACCAGGGCTCGAACCCGTGGCCCCTGCATTGGCAGGTGGATTCTTAACCACTGTGCCACCAGGGAAGCCCCAGAGCTCCATTCTTAACCACTTCACTTGTGGCTCAAAGTTTTGTGTGCATCAAAGTCAGGTATGGCATTTTTAAAAAATGCACAAGTCAGGGCCAGTTTCTAGGCTTCATGAATATAAGAATCTTTGGGTATGAGGTCTGGACATATACATTCTTTTAAATGCTACGTGATTCCTCTGTGTATCCTCATTAGAATAAGAAGAAGGAGGAAAAGGAGGAGGTAATACTAGGCAATTTATGAGGATTTATTATGTGCCAGGTACTTTCTAACATGAGGTCATTTCTGTATATTATTATCTCCATTTCATAGATTAAAAAAAATTAGTAGCCTTAAAAAAGCATGAAATTTTGCCATTTGCAACAATATGGATGGACCTGGAAGGTATAATGGTTAGTGAAATATATCAGACAGAGAAAGACAAATACTGTATGTTATCACTTATATGTGGAATCAAAAAAACCCACAAAACAAGACAACCCCCCCAAAAAAACTACTGAATATAGGAAAAAAAAAAAAAAAAAAAGCAAACTAGTAGTTACCAGTGAGGAGAGGAAAGGAGGAAGGGGCAAATAGGGTAAGGGAATTAAGAGGTACAAACTGTTATGTATAAAATAAATAAGCAACAAGGTTATATTGTATGGCACAGGGAATATAGCCAATATTTTGTAGTAACTATAATGGAATATAATCTATAAAAATTTTGAATCACTGTGTTGTATACCTGAAACTAATACCATAAATCAGTTATACCTCAATAAAAAGAATTACTCAAGGTTACATAGCTATTAAGTGGTAGTACTGACATGTTAAAAGTTCATAGACATCAGTCTTAACTACTGTATCATATTGTCTCTAGAATGGTGAATTTTTCTACCACAAACATTTTTAGGGTACCTACAGCATTAGCACATGCAGGAATGATCAACCTGACTATATTTATCTTAGACCCCAGGGTACTTGGTTCAATGGCTTTTACTAGGAAAGAAAGATAATATCACACATTTCCATAATAGATTTTTATCAGCCCTGTAAAAATGTTGAGTATAGAATAATTATGTAATCTTTTTCCTTAAAAATTGTAAAACTATTATCCTCTTAATTTGCTTTTAAAATTTCAGTTGCCTTTTGTTTTTTCTAATGCATTGTCTCCTTTTGAAGTACCACAGCCACTCATCAAAAAATTCTCATGGTTTTAGCTTAGTTTTCATTTAAGTATATTTTACTACCTCTATTAATATTGGGTTAGAGATAGTTGCCCTTTGATCTTTTTACTGAAACTGTTCTTATAACACATGGACCAGGTACTCTAATTTAGCCACTTATGAGATACACTGACTCCCTTTCTGTTGTTGAAATGCCAGCGACTGAGGAACGGGGTTTGTCTTCTGTCTCTGCAACTTTTCTGTTAGTGTCTAAACTGACAACGCTTATCTCTGCCTCTTCTTGACGCCACGCTTCTTTCCCCTGATCTCTGTTGCCTCCTTTCTGCTTTTTGGTTTTTTTTTTTCATATTTCCTGATATTAACACATAAACCCTGAGCATTTGAAGACTTCACTAATAAGAATATATATCAGTCAGCTTAGCCTGCCATAACAAAATACTGTAGACTGGATAACTTAAACTATAAAAATTAATTTTCTCATAGTTCTGGAAGCTGGAAGTCCAAAATCAGGTTGCCAGCATGATCAGTTCTGGTGTGGACGCTCTTCCTGGATTGAAAGATGGCTGCCTTCTCACTGTGTCCTCACATGGCAGTGAGAGAGGGAAAGGGAGAGGGAAAAGGGGGAAGAAAAGGGAAAAGAAGTGTGCCTGAGCTCACAAGCTCTTTGGTGTTTCTTCTTATAAGGACATTAATCTTATCGTGTTGGGGCCCCACCCTTATGATCTCATTTAACCTGAATTACCTCTATATAGACCCTATCTCCATATACCATCAGACTGGGGGTTAGAGTTACAGCATATGAAGTTTGGGGGGTGGGGGTCACAATTCAGTCCATAGGCAAATTCTTTCCTTCTGGTCAGAAGACTAGCCATTCTGTGTGTCTGGTATAATTTTTGAATTTTCACTCTTTCCCCACTAAAGCATTCTCTTCTCAATCAAATTTTCCAATTAGGAGCTATTCTAGATACTTGAGGGTGGGCAGAAAGGCTTGTCTTATGATAACTGAGGTTTTGTTCTATTTACTGCTAATTAATCATATATTAATTATAGTCATGCTCTTCACAGTATCCTCAGTTTTATTTACAAGTGAAATATTCAAATTCTCCTTATAATATAAAAATGTATTATGTTTTCTCTCTAGGAACCATCTCTTTTTGCTGTTGCCAAATTGTTAGAAACTGGTCTAGTTAACATGCACCGAATAGAAATTCTATGGAGACCTCTAACTGGCCATCTACTTGAGGTAACCTCTTTTTCTTAATTATTATATTTACTTTTTGTTTAGGATAAAGACATACACAGTGAATTAATAATTGTGGATAACCATAAGAAAAATCAGCATTAACATTTTTTTCCTTGTACTTCTGTCTGTATATCTTATCAGGAGCTAAAGTTCTATAGTAATTGTTTTGGTGAAGGAATAGGTTGACTTTTTTGACTGAAAATGGGTGATATATCAATGAAATCTCTGAAGTCTCCTTCAGCTGATAGCTTGGGACCCCTTTCTTTTATTATGTAATCTTTTGATCCCCTCACCTTCAGCTAGTTCTGAAACTTCAAGGCAGTTAGCACTGAGACTTCATACTAAACACTGCTCCTTTACAGCCTTTCCTGTGATTATGAGGTAGCTCTTCTACAAAGGGAAAAAACCTATTTGGTATCACTAATTATAAATAGTGCCAGGGAATTTTATTTGGATTTCTCTTCTCCTGTATTCAGACTGGGGTGAATCTGAAGAATTAGCTGCTTCTTAACAGCTGCTTCTATGGAATACATGTTTATGTGCAGTTTAGGTTTAGGTTGCTGTGATTGTTTCACATTATTTTAGTAATCTGAGAAAGGTATTATTCTTAATAGGAAAAAAATGTGCTTGTCTTTTCTTTCTTTTTTTCCCTCCATTTCATTGGGATTACTTTTATGAGCTATTAAAGATTATATGCAGATTTCTTCATTATGTAATTGTCATCAAATGGCAAAAAATAAGTTTTTTCAAATTTTAGCTCAGTGTTTGATTATGAAGATAGACCTGATTAGGAACCTGAGTATCTGCTGCTTTTGTTTATTCTGATGACATCATTTACCTTTATGAAATCCTTTCTTTTCTGTGACTTGTTTAGTTTCATTTTTTATCTTCTGTCTCTCTATTGCTTCCTCTTGCCTCTTATTCAGAAGGTAAGCTTTTGGATATTTTCATATATTCTTCAACCTTTATTGATGCACATTTGATATAACTTTTTACATATGAAAGAATAGAAAATGTGATGTTTTAATTTTTCTTTTCCCAAACTGATGTGTGATGCATAGCTGAAGTATACAAATTAAATATTAATTTTTTTCCACATGTGTACCCTTAGGTGTGCCAGCATCCAAACTCTCGAATGAGAGAGTGGGGAGCAGAAGCTTTAACTTCACTTATTAAAGCAGGATTAACATTTAACCATGATCCTCCACTTTCACAAAACCAGGTAAAAAAAAAAACCTCTTTTTTAAAAGTACTTAATGTAAGATCATCCTCTCCCATGTGTAACTTTTCTTAATTTATCAAATAGATGATAGTCTAAAAGTGGGTCTTGTTGCTTAATATTCTATTTTATTTGTAGGCCATGGATCTCTTACAGAAGGTTGATATGTCTAGATTTTTAGAATTATCTGTATTAAAATTTTTTCTTGTTAATAACACTGAACTAAGTTAATAAATTACCTAGAATTGGTCTCCCGATCTAGAAGTTTTCCTCTTCATGCAGTGCCAAGGCTTCATTTGGGGGCCATACTTTATTAGCCTCTTTTCCTTTGGTCCTTACCTGTCTCTATTTTTATTTTTCCCACTCATTACCCTTACATTGGGAGAAACAAGTGGCAGAAGAGGAAAGCACAATAAAATAGATTTTTATTTTTAAATACTTTTAAAGGTTATTTTATACTTTCAGAGTTTACTTTTGTCATGAATCCTTTGTCCTGACTCCCATAATCATTCACATATATCTTATACAGTTTCTAAAAAGTACACCAAAGTTTTATTATTTGAAGATGGAGTAGGAATGAGGCATTTAATAGCCATTCCCATTGCCCTATTATCTCACTGTATTGTATGTAGTTATAGTCTACAAATTTCCTCAACAAATAATATTGAGTGCATGCTATGCCAGGCAGTATTTTAGCTGCCTGGGAATAGAATGATGAACAGGACAGAGAAGATCATTTTTATAGAGCTTTCATTTTAGTGATTTCATATTTTTTTCCTACTACAATTTAAGTTTTTTATAACGAAAGCCCTGTTTGTGTATATATCCTCAGCATCCAGCTTAATACCTGGCACATGGTGAGAGCTTAATAAATGTTTGTTCAGTCAGTGAACCAAATAAATGAATCCTTGGAGAGAAAAAAATTAAAAATGAAGCAAGTGCTTTCAAATGCTGAAAAGAATAGAACAAAGTGCTTTTTTCACTCTGCAACAGTAAAAAAATTTTGTGGTTTTATGTCATCTTTGTCTACTGTACTTGTTCATTTTTAGGAGTACTGAGACTTTTAAATTTCAGTACATGGGGTATGCATTACTAGAGTAAATGAAAGGTAATTTTAGAAATTGGGAATTGTTTTCTTCTCTCCAAATAGAGCTAGGTGTATATATAGATATATTTCCTTTAGTGAGATTCATTTATATATGTGTCTATAATTAATACCTTTTAACATAAGATCACTCCCTGTTTATCCTGAAATGTAGCATCTTGAAGATTGATTTTTATTTTCTCTTATTAAAAAAAAAGACATAGATGACAAAATAATCCTAATGATTACTGTTAGAGAAATCTTTTTCAATGTTTATTTTACTAAAAGAATTCTCTTTACCATTGCAGTCTGAGTGGAGGTGAATTTAAACTTGAAAGGCAATAGCAGAGCCTTTCCGTGTTCTGGGACTTCTCTTTCTAATTAGCCTCTTGCGTCCTTTTCAGAGGCTGCAGTTGCTTTTACTGAACCCATTAAAGGAGATGTCCAGTGTTAACCATCCAGATATCCGACTCAAGCAATTAGAATGTGTGTTGCAGATTCTGCAGAGTCAGGGAGACAGTCTTGGGCCTGGATGGCCGTTAGTGCTTGGAGTTATGGGAGCAATCAGAAATGATCAAGGGTAAGTGTTTAAAATTAACATCCAAAAAGTGATAGGGAAAGGGAATCCCTCCTAAAATCTTGGGATGATGGTTAATTTTTTATGTATGCCTTTCCTGCTTAAGTTTAAGATCTAGAATAGTTTTTCTTACCCTACCTTCAAGTGGCTATAGGGAATTCTTAGGGCTCACGTTTGTTTTGGAAGGATGGAAAAATTGCTGTTTCTTTGCCATTTATACATGAATACAAGGTTCTTACTTAACAATAAGAAAAATGCATCAGTCTAACAAACTTTGAAACACATCCAAAGGCTGAGTTTCCTTTTGGTAAACAATTTGGTAAGATGTAAATGAGCATTTAGTGTTTGACCTCTCTATATATGCTATACTTGCTAGTTAGCCTGATTACATGGATAAGTAGTTCCTGCTCTGAAAGTAGAAACCTGTGGAAAAGGAACAAGGCCTAGAGCCCTAGTAACAGAGTAGTTTGTTATGCTACAAAAGAATAGGACTCCAGTGGGAGGGGTATATGCCTGTGGAGTGGGGCAGAGCCAAAACTATAAAGGACCTTATATGCCTTTACAAATTATTTGGACTTATCCTCAGTACATTTGGGAGGAATTTTAGGATTCTAAGCAGAGGAATGATGTGATTTGTTATGTGTTTGAGATACCTCATTATGTCAGTAGCATGGAGGGGTAAATGGGAAATCCTGCAGCGCTCTCTAGAAATAGGAGACGGATTTGAGCTACTTAATAGATTGACTGTTGGGGTGAAGGCAGAAATAGCAGACAGAGTCAGGGATGACTCCAAGATTTGTGACTTAGGCAGCTTAGTGGATGGTGGTATTATTAACTAAATAGGGAATACAGAAGGAAGAGCACAGTTGGAGGAAATGTATGGACTTGTTTAATTTAAGGTAGTACATTGCAGTGGCGAGATTTAGCAAACATTTGGATATATTTGTCTGTAATTCTGTGGCAGGACTTAACCTTGTTTTGATGACTAGTTTAGGAGTTTTACATGATTGAAATGCTTGAGACTCCTGTGGAAAATTAATTTTTCTTATTTATCTGTAATAACAAATTTCCTTATATACTATAAAATACAAGATGATTAAAGTGGAAAGATGTCAGCCAAAGCCTAGATCATCCGAACAGTTATAAAATAGAGTGTGTTGTAAGGATGAAATTAATTAATACTTGTAAAATACTTAGAAAGTATATGATATAGTAAATGCTCAAAGTGTTAGCTGTTTTAATGTTTTTATTATTTTTTTCACCACCAGAATTTTTCTCCAAAACCATATACTTCTTATTGTCTTCATTTGAAATACAAAATTACTCTTTACTTTTACAGACTAGATGTAGAATTTTAAATAAAATATAGTATAGCTATAAAAGAATAAGGAACTCATTTTCATTCAGTGAGTGAATTGTGTGTATTCTCCTGTGCTAGGCACCATGCTAGTTACTGAGGGTACAGTGGTGAGAAAGTAGCTGTATCCAATTTCCCTTTTTCATTCAATGTCTATGTTTTGTTTGACTAATTGATGCAATAGAAATAATATGGCATTAGTACATAGTTTCTTTTTTTTTTTTAGTTTACTTATTTCTTATTCCTGTGAGTACTTTATTTTTATTTGTTAATTATTTTTAAGTAAGCATATCTTTTTTTACATTTATGTAAATGATGAAGTACTCTATGATCTATGTTAGGGAAAATTTTCTTGTTCGAATTTTAAAATAAAATTTTACTTCAAATTATTGTAAGGTATATATTTTTCCTTGCATTTCTGTTAAATACATGAGTATAAATTTCTTTTCTTTTGTATTTTCAGAGAATCCTTGATACGAACTGCATTCCAGTGTCTTCAGTTGGTTGTGACAGATTTTCTACCAACAATGCCTTGCACTTGCCTGCAGATAGTTGTAGATGTTGCAGGTAGCTTTGGACTTCATAACCAAGAACTTAATATTAGTTTAACTTCAATAGGTTTATTGGTAAGTATCATTGCCTTCCTTATATAATCTAGAAATCACTGTTTGCAACTGAGAGTGAATGCCAAGCTAATGCTATGCTTTTGACTCTATAGGAGTCATTTAAATGACTTTTCAGTACCAAACTTATACCTTGTATGAAGGGTTAAAAAATATCATTTAAGAAATAATTATTTAAAAGCAGAGTATTTGGAATAATTTTGATATATTGAGCTGAAATTTGGCTTTTGTAAGGTTTGTTATGGGAGAATTTAGTAAACAAATAATAGTACATACAAGAGAAATGTTCAGTTGACTCTGCTGTGAAGGGTAATTGATTTCTTTTTAAATTTAATTTTATTTATTTTTTTATACAGCAGGTTCTTATTATCTGTTTTATACATATTAGTGTATATATGTCAATCCCAATCTCCCAGTTCATCCTACCACCACCACTACCCCCTTTCCCCCTCTTGGTGTCCATACATTTGTTCTCTACATCTGTGTCTCTATTTCTGCCTTGCAAACTGGTTCATCTGTACCCTTTTTCTAGATTCCACATATATGCATTAATATACGATATTTGTTTTTCTCTTTCTGACTTACTTCACTCTGTATCACAGTCTCTAGGTCCATCCACATCTGAACAAATGACCCAATTTCGTTCCTTTTTATGGCTGAGTAATATTCCATTGTGTACATGTACCACATCTTCTTTATCCATTCATCTGTCAATGGGCATTTAGGTTGCTTGCATGACCTGGCTATTGTAAGTAGTGCTGCACTGAACATTGATGTGCATGTGTCTTTTTGAATTATGGTTTTCTCAGGGTATATGCCCAGTGGTGGGATTGCTGGGTCATATGATAATTCTATTTTTAGTTTTTTAAGGAACCTCCATACTGTTCTCCATAGTGGCTGTATCAATTTACATTCCCACCAACAGTGCAAGAGGGTTCCCTTTTCTCCACACCCTCCCCAGCATATGTTGTTTGTAGGTTTTCTGATGATGCCCATTCCAACCGGTGTGAGGTGATACCTCATTGTAGTTTTGATTTGTATTTCTCTAATAATTAGTGATGTTGAGCAGCTTTTGTTTTTTTGTTTTTAAGCCTTCATGCTTCTTATTTTTTTTTATTTCTAAATTTGTTTATTTATTCATTTATGGCTGCGTTGGGTCTTCATTGCGCGCGCTTTCTCTAGTTGCGGAGAGCAGGGGCTACTTTTCGTTGCGGTGTGTGGGCTTCTCATTGTGGTGGCTTCTCTTGTTACGGAGCATGGGCGCTAGGCACGTGAGCTTCAGTAGTTGTGGCATGCAGGCTCAGTAGTTGTGGCTCGCGGGCTCTAGAGTACAGGCTCAGTAGTTGTGGTGCACGGGCTTAGTTGCTTTGCGGCATGTGAGATCTTCCCGGACCAGGGCTCGAACCCTTGTCCCCTGCTTGGCAGACGGATTCTCAACCACTGCACCACCAGGGAAGTCCAAGCAGCTTTTTCTGTGCCTTTTGGCCATCTGTATGTCTTCTTTGGTGAAATGTCTATTTAGGTCTTCTGCCCATTTTTGGATTGGGTTGTTTGTTTTTTAAATGTTGAACTGCATGAGCTGTTTATATATTTTGGAGATTAATTCTTTGTCCGTTGATTCGTTTGCAAATATTTTCTTCCATTCTGAGGGTTGTCTTTTCGTCTTGTTTAAAGTTTCCTTTGGGGCTTCCCTGGTGGCGCAGTGGTTGAGAGTCCACCTGCTGATGCAGGGGACACGGGTTCGTGCCCTGGTCCTGGAAGATCCCACATGCCACGGAGCGGCTGGGCCCGTGAGCCATGGCCGCTGAGCCTGTGCATCCGGAGCCTGTGTTCCGCAACGGGAGAGGCCACAACAGTGAGAGGCCCGCGTACCGCAAAAAAAAAAAAAGTTTCCTTTGCTGTGCAAAAGCTTTGAAGTTTCATGAGGTCCCATTTGTTTATTTTTATTTCCAGTACTCTAGGAGGTGGGTCAGAAAAGATCTTGCTGTGATTTATATCAAAGAGTGTTCTTCCTATGTTTTCTTCTCAGAGTTTTATAGTGTCCGGTCTTACATTTAGGTTTCTAATCCATTTTGAGTTTATTGTTGTGTATGGTGTAAGGGAGGGTTCTAACTTCATTCTTTTACATGTAGCTGTCCAGTTTTCCTAGCACCCCCTTTTTTTGTGTGTGTGTGTGTGTATGAAATTACAAAATATTATTAAATGATAGTAAGGGATTGTTTAATAATTTTGTTAGGTTAATAATGGTATCATGGTTATGTTTTTTAAAGCCTTTTCTAGTAGAGATTATAAAATATAGGCATGAAGAAAATATGACAAAATGTTAACAATTGTTATATCTAGATGTGGTGGTTATATCAGTATATTGATATATTCTCCCTGTTTTTCTGTATGTTCTTGAAATTTTTCATATTAAACATTTTGTTTCTTTTTCATTGTCCTTCATTTCTTTTAATTTTTACTGTGAAGTAAAGATACACCCAGACACCTCAGTACCCATCACCCAAGCCAGGAAATGGCACATCACCCTACTTAAGACCCTTCATATGCCCCTCTCAGATTGCACTGGTCTCCTCTGTCAAAGTCATTTGTATCCTGAAATTTCTGTTACTTGCTTCCCTGTTTTTCTGTATAGTTTTTATCACTTTATGCTTTTACACTTAAATAATATATTGTTTGCAGTTGCCTGTTTATGAAACAGAATAAGTAGAATCATACTTTAATCTTCTGTTGTTTCTTTGCTCAACATTTATTTTTGAGATTCACTCCTGGTGATTTAATCATGCAGTATTTCATTTTATGATTATACCACAATTTAATGATCCAGTCTACCTTTGGTGAACATTTGGATTATTTCTTGGTCTTTGCAGTTATGAGCAATGCTGTCATAAAGATTCTTGCACTAGTGCAAGGAATTTTTTGAGGGCACATAGCCTACATTGGAATTGCTGGGTCTTTATGTATGTGCATGTTCAACTTTCTAGGTAGAACCAACTTGTTTTCTTTTTTCTTTTATTTATTGAGGTATAGTTGATTTATAATATTATATTAGTTTCAGGTATACAACATAGTGATTAAAAATTTTTATGATTATACTCCATTTAAAGTTATTATAAAATATTGGCTCTACTCCCTGTGCTTTACAATATTTCCTTGTAGCTTGTTTATTTTATACATAGTAGTTTATACCTCTTAATCTCCTATTCCTATATTGTCCTTTCCCACTTCCATCTCCCCTCTAGTTTGTTCTGTATGAGTCTCTTTCTCTGTTGTTGTATTCATTTGTTTGACTCATCTTAGATTCTGCATATAAATGATAACATACAGTATTTGTCTTTCTTTGTCTGACTTATTTCACTAACCATAATACCTTCCAGGTTCATCCATGTTGTTGAAAAAGGCAAATTTTCATTCTTCTTTATGGCTGAGTAGTATTCCATCGTGTGTGTGTGTGTGCGTGTGTGTGTACGTGTATATATATAGAGAGAGAGATAGACAGATATATATATAATACATACAATCTATTTATTTACCTATCTAGCTACCACATCTTCTTTATCCATTCATCTGTTGATGGGCACTTAGGTAACTCTATATCCTGGCTATTGTAAATAGTGCTGCTATGAACATTGGGGTGCATGTGTCTTTTCAAATTAGTGTTTTCATTTTTTCCAAATATATATCTAGGAGTGGAATTTCTGGATCATATGGTAGTTCTATTTTTAGTTTTTTGAGGAACCTCCATACTGTTTTCCACATTGACTGCACCAATTTTTTCAAATTATTAATGTTAGCATAAGATTGCTCCCTCAAATTCTGAAATCAGTCAGAGACACTTGACAGAAGAGGAGATATTTTCATTAAATCCATTCTACTAGAAAAGGAGTTTCTGAAATAATTGTTTTTTTAATTCTGAAAAAGTATGTGTTGCATATCTATGTGTTTAAAATAAAATCTATGAATAAATTGATATTTTCTCCTTTGCTTTTTAGTGGAATATTTCAGATTATTTTTTCCAAAGAGGAGAAACTATTGAAAAAGAATTAAATAACGAAGAAGCAGCACAGCAAAAGCAGGCAGAAGAAAAAGGAGTGGTTTTAAATCGGCCGTTCCACCCTGCACCACCGTTTGATTGTTTGTGGTTGTGTCTTTATGCAAAATTGGGTGAACTATGTGTGGACCCCCGTCCTGCTGTTAGGAAGAGTGCAGGGCAAACTCTATTTTCGACAATTGGTGCACATGGAACTTTATTACAGCCCTCAACGTGGCACACTGTTATTTGGAAGGTACTGTAAAATAGCTTCAGTTATCAGTTCTTAATTGAGACATGCTTATATACTTTTTCAATTAAACTTGTTCCTATTAATTTAAAAAAAAATTTTTTAATTTTTAGTTTTTTTATTGAACTCTAGTTGATTTAAAATGTGTTAGTTTCACTTTCACTGAATGTGATTCAGTTATACATTTATATTCTTTTTCTTCCTATTAATTTTTAAAGAAGAGTTTCCGTCTGTGCATTTGGCAAAACAGAAAATGTTAGCTTTGTTGTATTTTTAATTGCACCTGACATGGATCAGATTAAATACTAAAAGCCTCATCTTTTTATCTCTTTATCTCCTTTGCACTTCCCTTTCTCCTCGTTTTCCCCTGTGGTAATAGAACTAGTAGTTGGTAAACCACTACCTATAATTCAAATATAATATAGTCAAATGAAAATTTTCACCAGTAGTGAAATTTACTTGCAGGCTCACCAAACAAAAACCACCTCCAATTTGTAAATTCCATGTTCGTTCATTAAATATGCAGTTTCATTTTTTTAATTTTTCAATTTTATCTTCTTTTTAAAATGTTCTTACAGGGTCAACAGCTTGTTAGTGAGCATCCCCTCTTTGCTAAAAGCTCTCTGTTTTTTGTTTAATCTGTTCCATTTTAATAAAATTCTATTTATAATCCTTCCATTGCTTTTGTGAATTTTTGAAATCAGCAAGTTTGATGGTAGGCAAAATGGTAAACCTTCATTGTATTTAACAGTGTTTTCAGTTTAATAAAAAGACCCCAGAATGTCTTCTTAAAAAATTAATATGTTCCCTAATAAAAATAATTAAAAGCCCTGCTCCCCACTCCTATGTCTTCTGGTTTTTTTTCGTTTTTTTTTTTTTTTTAACTAGCTGCACCACGCGGCATGAGGGACGTCAGGGATCTAACCCGGGCCCCCTGCATTGGAAGAGTAGTCTTAACCACTGGACCACCAGGGAAGTCCTCTCTTGTGTCTTCTGTTTCAACTCTATCCCCTGGCTTCTCAGTTCACAAACATGCTGCAGAGTCCTTTACTGTTTTAAAAAACAAACTGATATTTTCTCTGATTTTTGTTTTCTTTTCAGACAGCTTCATTGTTAATCTTCCTGCCTAAATCTCAATAACTTTTTTTCTTTCTCAATTCCCCTGCATTCCCTTACCCCCTTGTAATTTGATATCCAGATTATTCTACTTCAGAGTATCTTAAACCTTAGCATGTAACAGAATCTCCTAGAGGACTTAATAAAGAACAAATTGCTTGAGCCACTGTCCCCAACCTCCTAGAGTTTCTGATTTCTTTCAAACCCTGGCGCAAGGACTGAGAATTTGCATGTCTGTGAAGCTCCTGGGTGATGCTGATGGTTCTGAGACCATATTTTTAGAACCACACAAATTGTTCATAGGCTCTACAGGTAGTCTTCTAATTGCCAAGTCTCTTGCCCCATGCTCAATCCTTATCCTGCTCATTTTTTGTAGCATTTAATACTGCTGATTATTTTTTCCTTGAAATTTCTCTTCCTTTGGCTTGTGTTCCACAGCATGCGTGTGCTTCTCTACTCAATTTTTATTTTATTTTTTGGGCTCCTATTACTTCCTCTGATTCTACATTTTAAATGTAAACATTCCCCAAATCCCAACCGCTTCCTGCTTGATTTTTTTCAAGCACCTTCATCCAGTCCTGAAGTTTCAGCAGTAACCTCTGTCCAGATGTCACTCATAGTTATATATTTGCCTGGATCCCTCTCCTTAGCTTCATTCCCTTCTTGTATGTTACCCCCTAGATGCTCCATTGGCACCTCAGCTCAGTAAGTCTTAGACAATAGTCTATCCAATTTATTTTAATTTTTCATATTCCATGACCTTAAGGATAAACTTAATATAAGGATACCTCAGTTGGTCAGTTTCGTTTAATATATGGGGATTGATCAGAATGTCAGGTGTAATTCTTTGTAACAATGCCTAATTTTCTATGCTGTTACTTAAGCTGTGTTATCAGTACTTTTTATATGCATTGTTATAAATATTTAGGTTCTCTTTCATCTATTGGACCGAGTTCGAGAGTCTTCTACCACTGCAGACAAAGAAAAGATTGAGTCCGGAGGTGGCAATATTCTCATTCATCATTCAAGGGACACAGCAGAGAAGCAATGGGCTGAGACATGGGTTTTAACATTGGCCGGAGTAGCAAGAATCTTCAACACTAGAAGATATTTACTGCAACCTTTAGGTAGATACACTTTTTTTTTTTTTCTGAGGATACAAGTAATTAATGTTAAAGGAAATTTGGAAAATACAGGAGATTCTTTAAAGTTCATATACAATGCTACTTTCCAAGAAGAATCCATCTTAACTGCCAGTCTTTGTGTTATGTGTGGTGTGTGCACGAGCATGCACGTTTTCATTCATTTCACTGAAAAAGTATGTAATGTGCACCTACTGCGGGTGAGTCTCTAGGGATACAATGTCCTTGCTATATCATGGGTATGAGGGAAGAGCTATAATTACATAAATAAATACAAAATTGCTACAATGATCAGTGCTAAAAGGAGCTTATAATAGATTGTGTGCTTATAATAGATATTTGACCAGGCCAGTGAGGTATGTATAGGCTTCCCTGAGAAACCAGTATTTTATCTGAGTAGTAGTTCATCAGGCAAGGGAAGGAGGAACTGGGAAGAGCCTTACAGGCAGAGAGAATGTGTAAAAGAGATGGGAGAAGATTGAGGAGATGGGGATGGTGGGGACCCCGGCATGTTTGAAGGTCTGGAATGAAGAGAACACAGAAAAGTGTAATTCCACATGAGGTTGTAGAGGTAGAGAGAGGCCAGAGCATGGAACACTTTGTAGGTTATGTTCAAAAGTTAAGACTTTATTCTAAGAGCACTGGCAGGTTTTAATCCATGATGTGATGTGATCAGATATGCAGTTCAGAAATATCACTTCAGATGGTATGTGTGGAATGGAATGGCCACAAAGAAGAATGGTAGGATACTGTTAGACTGGTGAGGAAACTTGGTTGTGTAGATCAATGCCTCTCAACCAGGGCCAATTTTGCCCAACCTACTCCCTCCCCCCACAGGATATTTGACAATGTCTGGAGACAGTTTTGGTTGTCACAACTGGGGAAGGACATGCACTACTGGCTTCTGGGGGGAGTAGCAGCCAGGGATGCTGCTACACATCTTACAATGCACAGGATAGCCCCTACAACAAAGAGTTATCCAACCCAAAATGTCAGTAGTATTGAGATTGAGAAACTCTGGTGTAGATTATAATAACTTCCTTCAATTCTGGTGGTAGGGCTGGGAGTGGTTGAGAAAAGTGAACAGAAGTACTTTTGTACATAATTGTGAACAAGTACATATTATTTTTTTAATTTATTCTTTTATGGTTGGCTTTCCCCCCCATTACGTTAAAGCATAAGCATATTTACTCTTTTTGTGGGCATTTTTGTGTGGTGTTCATCATGTACACTTTAGGGCTCTCTCTATTTTATATATACATATACATATATATATATAATGTACATACGTATACATTTTAAATCTTAGTTTTTTGTTTTCATGTAAAATTTACATATAATGAAATGTGCCAATCTTAACTGTATGTTTGCTGAGTTTTGACAAATAAGCATCATTTTTAATACCTCTGTGATAGTTACTTTATCTTAAAAGCTAAGAACTAATAGATTTAGATTTTTTAAAATGAAGACATGATGCAGTTCATGTAGCTTTGATGATTTTTTATAATTTGAACACTAGGAAATGGTTTTTATTATTTTAGAATAAGGTGGTGTCAGGGTGATGCTCATAGAATGGTTCAGAAGTGTTCCTTCCTCTGCAGTTTTTTTTGAGTAGTTTGAGAAGGATAGGTGTTAACTCTTCTCTAAATGTTTGGTAGAATTCACCTATGAAGCCATCTGGTCCTGGATGTTTGTTCATTGGAGTTTTTAAATTACTGATTCAATTTCATAACCAATAATTGTTCATATTTTCTGTTTCTTCCTGGTTCAGTCTTGGGAGATTCTTTCAAAGAATTTGTCCATTTCTTCTAGGTTGTCCATTTTATTGGTGTATAGTTGTTCATAGAAGTCTCTTATGATTCTTTGTATTTCTGTGGTGTCAGTTGTAACTTCTTTTTCATTTCTGATTTTATTGATTTGGGCCCTCTCCCTTTTTTTCTTGATGAGTCTGGCTGAAGGTTTGTCAATTTGGTTTATCTTTTCAAAGAAGCAGCTTTTAGTTTCATTGATCTTTTCTATTGTTGTTTTAGTCTCTATTTCATTTATTTCTGCTCTGCTCTTTATGATTTCTTTCCTTCTACTAACTTTGGGTTTTGTTCTTTTTTCTCTAGTTCCCTTAGGTGTAAAGTTAGGTTGTTCATTTGAGATTTTTCTTATTTCCTGAAGTAAGCTCGTATGGCTATAAACTTTCCTATTAGAACTGCTTTTGCTGGCGTCCCAAAGGTTTTGGATCATTGTGTTTTCATTTTCATTTGTCTCTAGGTATTTTTTGATTTCCTCTTTGATTTCTTCAGTGATCCATTGGCTGTTTAGTAGCATATTGTTTAGCCTCCACATGTTTGTGGTTTTTTGCAGTTTTTTTCTTGTAGTTGAAAATTTTGCCATTTGGAGCAACATGGGTAGACTTGCAGGGCATTATGCTAAGTGAAGTAAGTCAGACAGAGAAAGACAAATACTGATATGATATCACTTCTATGTAGAATCTAAAAAATAAAACAAACTAGTGAATATAACAAAAAAGAAGCAGACTCACAGATACAGAGAACAAACTAGTGGTTACCAGTGGGGACAGGGGGCAAGTGGGGCAATACAGGGGTGGAGGACTGGGAGCTGCAAACTATTGGGTATAAGATAGGCTGCAAGGATGTATTTTACAACACTGGAATATAGCCAGTATTTTGTAATAATTGTAAATAGAGTGTAACCTTTAAAAATTGTATAAAAATTTTTTAAAATATTCTTAAATAATGCGGTTAATATTTTTAACATAACCATGTGCAATATATAATTATACCTAGTCTTTTAGAAAGAAGACTTCTTCCTAGACATAGAATATATTAATGAAAGAATTGCTGGGTTTTTTCCTAACTATGGCGTAGAATATTCTAAATCTGAGACTTGGTCACCATTCTGGTGGGGAAATGTAATGTTTCATCTGACTTTTGGACTGGAATGGCAACAAGCAGAAGTATTTTGTTTTGTTGTTTTGATAGTTTTTAGACAAAAATTTTTTAAACTCTTTGAACAGTTTACTGAAAAATCTGTTTTTTATTGTATGTAAATTATACTTCAATTTTTTTTTAAAAATGTATGGAGAGGAAGAGGCATATAACTGGGCAAGTGTTATCATTTATCCTGTAAAGGCAGAGCAATACTTACTGTTTTATACCAGACTTAGTTCCAGCTTTCCAATTAACTGAATGCTTCCTCAGTCATATATGGGTTTATCCCTTCCTGAAAAAACATCTAGTCTTTGATAGCTTTTGTGAAGTGAAATTCTTTAAACCTCGATTATCTCTATTTCATAGCCTACTTATGTTATCCTTTGCAGAATGTCAGTTCCTCTGATTTTTGCATTATTTAAATACAAATAGGTGGGTAATAATCCATGCTACTAATAAAGCCATTGGGCTAGATGTCTGTAGGAACAAGATCATTTTTTGCTGGGCTTCATAGGAACAAACCACGCCGGGCCATAGAGAGTTTCATTATAAACGTGCTTAGTTGGTCACAGGAGTAGAGCAAGAGATTGAATTGATTAGTGGAAACAACAGCTACCATTCAGCCCATGCTCTGCTGATGGTAGATCATTCGACTCGGTTTTACATGGGAGAAATAAATTTAGACTCATTGTAAAAGGACAGTCTAATCTTTATGGTGCATTTTCTCCTGGCAACTCACTGATGGGGGAAAAATGTTTAAGAAAATTCCACAACTGTAAAATTACTTAAATATGAAAACCAAAGTGTAAAGTTAAGATTTTTATGGAGTATGATTTACAGTTTATTTTAAACATTTAGACGGATAAAAAAACGTGTATCATTGTTATAACTTTTCCAATATGCTTAAGAATGGGAACATCTTACTTAATCATTAATAAAGGTAGATGGATAGACTGAAGATGTTACTGAAAAGTTTTTGTTTTCACCCTCTTAAGTTTTTATTCTGTTCTCCTTAGGCAGAAGTACTAGAATAGAAACATGTATACATACATTTACAGAGTTTTATTTTTAAGACCAAAACCGTGTTTGATATACTCATTGTCCTCTTCTTGATGCTGTATGTTCCTGTAGCTGACAAAAATTTTTTACTGGGTTTTTGGGTTGTAATGATTTTAATTCACATTGTTAGTACCTTAGCATATTTTTTCTAGTTCTATAGGAATTTAAGCAGAAAAATAAAGCAAATAAACTTTAAAGTGTCTAATAGTAAGAGAAAATTTGATCTCTTTTATGGTGATAAATTTTTTTTTCCCTCTTCCTAATATAGGAGATTTTTCAAGAGCATGGGATGTTCTTCTTGACCATATACAATCAGCAGCACTCAGCAAAAACAATGAAGTATCTCTGGCTGCGCTGAAAAGCTTCCAGGAAATTTTACAGATTGTGACCCCTGTCAGAGACTCAGATAAGCCTGAGACACCACCTGCAGTTAATGTCCCTGTGCCTGTCCTTTTAGGGTCCATATCAGGCCCTGGCCTGAACAGGCCATTTGTAAGAACAGATTCCATTGGAGAAAGACTTGGAAGATATAGCAGCTCTGAGCCACCCGTAGTTACTGATGAGCTTGAAGATTTGAATCTCTGGTGGGCTGCATGGAATACCTGGTATAGAGTTGGATCTGAAAGCACTAAGCCTCCTATTACTTTTGATAAACTAACTTTCATTCCCAGCCAGCCTTTTCTTACAGCTTTAATTCAAATATTTCCAGCTCTTTACCAACACATAAAAACTGGTTTCAACATGGATGATTTGCAAAAGTTGGGAGTCATACTACACAGTGCCGTTTCAGTCCCAATAAGTTCAGATGCATCCCCTTTCATTCTTCCATCTTACACTGAAGCAGTTTTGACAAGTTTACAGGAAGCTGTACTTACAGCTCTAGATGTTCTCCAAAAGGTAATAGAATTTTAGTGGCTATCTAAGCAATATTGAATATGGTTCTCTGGAACTTTTTTTTACTTCGCTATATATTTTTTGGGATAAATTCTGGATCATCAAGATTGTTGTGTGTGTATACTTTGGGATGAATTCAAGATTGTAAAGATCAAAAAAAAAGATTGTAAATATCCATTTATTTTTAAAACTTTTATTTTTCTAATATATTTTAAAAGGTATTTCAGGTTTATTTTGAGAGTCTTTAAGAAACTGCCTGCATTCTCTTGCTTCTGTTCACCAGCTTTTTTTGGTTTGTTCATGTAACTCTTCACAAGAGGATATACTTTTGGAATGACAACTTTAGTAAAGTATCTCTATAATTAGAAAATTAATAAGCCATAGGATTATATTTTGTTTTTTTCATCTGTACTTAAATTTAGCTCTGGAATTGTTGGAAGCCTATATTTTTTAAAAAAGAAGTAAGAATAAATTTATAAAGTATTTTTCTCACAGAAATTTTAAAAAGATATATTTTAACCTATGTGTGTTTTGTTCCTGCAAAATATATATGTATATATATATTAAAACAGACCTAAAAATTATTGAGCACATTCCAGTTAGCAAGCAAGACCAGATCAAAATCAAAGAATGTTTTAAACTGTCAAGGTAATTATTAGCACCATTCACAACAACCAAAATGCTAAACAAAAAAAATGCCACCTGAAGAGCCAGCAATCTCAACAAAGTAGCTATGACATTCTAACAAAATTAGAATGGAAGTATTAGATTCTGATTACACATGTGTTATCAGTAGCCATTTGTGTACTGAAGATCATGTTTTCTAATTAAATGATTGCCTTATATGCAACTGGATTGAAGAAAACTTTCAAAGTAAGAATGGTGGTTTCTACTACACCATAATATGCCTTGAATGACTCTGGAGGAAGTCTAGCTGAGCAGTAATTCCTTGATCTCTTTACCCCTAGTTACACTGTGCAGAGAAACAAATTGTGTAGAAACTTAAAATCTAAGAGAATTTGGCATTTTAAAAACTTTATTGTAGGGATATCAGTTTTCCATAATTGAAATCAAAAGAGCTGCTTTTATTTTCAGTGGGGGGAGAAAAGTAGCCTGTCAATAATAACTTTTTTCTCCCTGACTGTGAACATAAGTTGCTTATAGACTGCCTTAGAGGGAATGGAAAAGTTAATATATTAGAGAAAGAGAGCATAGGCCTTGTGAGATACCCATAATCTAGAACTTTCAGATGTTTAATTCAAGCTTTTATATATGTGTAGAGGATAGTAAACAAAAGGAAACAACAAACCCCCAAAATTTTTTCCATGGAAAAAAGCATATAATTTTATTTAGGAAAAAACTGCTGCTTTCGCAATAAAAAAACAAATAGAATCATTCATCCCAACTACTAGGAATTTGTTCTAAGCTTTGAACTTTTAATGGCTTTGAAAGCAATATATACCTTCGATTGGGAACTTCGGAAGTTTTATTGTTGGAAACTTAGGAAGTTTTATTTATATAAATTGATATCATTTTGTATTACTAATTTTCACTCTAGCCATTGTTTATTACTTATGTGATTATCTAAATGATGTTTCATAATACTTGAATGTGATTCAAATATATAGGGTCTTTAATATTTCCTAACAGAAAACATATTTCATTATTAGTAAAGAGTGTTTTTATTTTTTCTTTCTTTTTCTTTTTCCAAGTAAGGGTGTTTTTATATTTCCCCCCACAGGTGTCAGAAAATTTTTTCACAAGCAAAATTTACTTGCTTTGGGACTTTATTCATAAACTAATAAGCTATTCTGCAAAACATTTTATTGATTAAAAGCAGTTTTCCTTCCTAAAGGAAAAACTCATTTCTAATTTCATGTTTACCCTTACATTGTTTAGGGTTTCAGGGTCATAGTCTTTTCCTTGGTTTTCAGATCACTAGTTCACAACCAAAATGATTTAGTCATGTAGGCCAACTTTTTTTTTTGGCCAAGATACTTTGGCATACATGGGGGACCTGAGAATTTGATTATCTGCTTTCCCTAAGTTCTGAGATCAGGAGACTGCATCTATCTTATTTATTGCCACACGGATTGAATTATTTCAAATGACTTAATAAGAGAAACCTTGAACCATGTGAGAGGTTAGATGTCCAGTTTCTTTTCTTTTTTTCACGTACACAGTTTTCAAGGACTAATAAGAACTGTTGTCCAGATTGCTTATGGATTCTTAGCTTTTGGACTAAAATCTGTTACCAGATTTATATATAGGCTTTTCTGATAAACTTCAGAATACTGAAGAAAGCCAATAATAACTTTTTCTTAGAATGAAGTTTGTTGTAAAAAAAAAAAAAAGAAAAAGTTGGTTCCATATTATGCATTTTAAGATTCCAGAATTCAACTGTAACACTATTAGTTTTTTTTTTTTTTTTTAATAAAGGACCACTGAAAATTAAAACATATAGTCCAGGTCATTATTTGTTGCTAAGGTATTTTCAGAAAAATTAGTTTTCTAAGGTCTCCACACAGACTTTTCCCTCCCTCCCTTGCTTTGTCACTGAAAATAAAAGAATTCATTTAGGGTAATTATTTCTTTTCCACAGTAATTTCTACTTGTTTACTTGTAAGAGTTAAGACTCAGCAAGGGGTTAATAAAGAAGACCAGTGAAACTATTAGAAGTAGTTAGTAGAGAGAATTTTTTTAGGCTGTATACCTTTCAAGTTCATGATTCACTGTTTCTGAGAAAAGTAACCAAGTAGGGAAAGATGGTATTAGATATCTTTGTTCTACTTTCACATTGTAATTATAGGATAATCAAACATACTAATGGGCAGCACTTTGCTTATCTACTTTGTACCTCAAGATAATTTTATCTAAAACACCAGTTAAAGCTAAATGGCTACCTCTTCTCTGAGGGAAAATAAAACTAGTCTTTTATCTGACAGGTTAAAAAAGCCATGATTGCATGAAAATATAAATGTTGTGCACATCTTTTTAAAGAAATTCCTTAAAATTTTGAAATGCTTTGAATTTTGATTTTGTATTTTGAGGGTACCTCAAGTGTAGAATGATCATGCTTTTTGTTTTGTAAAGCACAAATATATTTTAGATACTCCATAACATATCATTAAATATTTTTCCCACAGAGAGAAACGAACACTAAAACAGGAAAATATGAAAGGATGGGAGGAGAAAACACATATGTCGCTAGAGAAAATAAAAACATAAGATTTATTTTTAAGTATTTTCAATGTATTTGAAGTAATTAAAATCTGCAGTATCAGAATATGTATTCTTTGTTTTATGAAATTATTTGTAGCATTAAGTTTAATTTCTATTAAATTTTTAAATTTTTCTTGTTTTAAATCAAGTCTATATATTTAGATACATTAGACACTAAATATACTCTGCCCTGTTAAAAATTAATATACTGTATACATTTCTTTTAGAAACAAATTTTTATTCATAACTTATTTTCCCGACTGTAATGAACATGATTATTTGTTAAAGTCTGTGGACCAGGCATGATACAGGAATCAGCTGTCATTTCAATAAGTTAATGCCATCACTTAAGTAGAAGTCAACATCATCTTAGTCAGTGAAGCATTGTAAATGGTCTGATGGGTATATTACTGAACAAATGATCAGATTGTGGAACCTCAGAACTGCCAGGGTTTTCTCTTTAAGTGCTTGCCCTTTGTTTAGTCTGCTGAGTAATAAGCCACACTTTTAATTAAAAAACGTTTTTTAGCTGATTAATACATTTAGCCTACACTTTATTCAGTAATAGTTTAAAATAGCTTAAATGTCCTTCAGGGCTTATAAAAAATTGTATAATACTTAACATAAAATAGGACAGCCTTTTCGATTCTTTGGTTAAACAAAAGCATATACAGTAAAGAACTTAATGGAGTTCAGATTATGCATTCTACTATTCATATATTGTTTTTATAGGCCATCTGTATAGGACCGGAAAACATGCAGATAATGTATCCAGCTATATTTGACCAGTTATTGGCATTTGTAGAATTTTCCTGTAAACCTCCACAGTATGGACAGCTAGAAACAAAACACATTGCAAATGCAAAATATAATCAGGTAATTTGCTATAAATTATATTTACTCTGTAAGATTTCATGGCTTATAAATATAGTCAGTTCCACTTAAGATGGACTTTGATTATCCCAGAAAATTTTCATTCACAAATAAACTTTCATATGTATGTTAACGGTTTAAGCTGAAAAGAAACACTATTTGGAAGACCTTTTCTGTGTTCCTTTTGTGTGTTTGTTTGTTTATTACTTTCTTTTCCCAAGTGGTTCTCCAGAAAGTTTGGCCTTGCATGTTACTCTTTCTTCGAAGTTCCTTTCTTTGTGTCCTCATCCCGCTCTAAAATGGCTTCTAAATCCCTAAGCCTAATCTTATCTAAAATAGATATCTGCAATACAAAATGAAGAAATCTGTGTGTACTAAATAAGTCTACTACTGGTGTGAAATTTAGTTGGATTTTACATAAAAGATTTTTATAGCCATAGTTGGCAAATTTTAACTTTGTTTTGGCTTAGGGGAAAAGTAAATTTCTGAATGCATGCACATGCTGATTTTGTTCACTCAACATAAAAATTATAATTTTACATGGTCCGAAACGTAGTTTTAATGTGTATTAACTTTTCTCATTCTATTTGTCTTGCAACACAATGGAATCACAATAGATCCAACTATTTGCACCGGTGAGTTAAATTTCCTAAAATTGTCCTAACCTATTGGCAACAAATAAAGTACATCTTTCCCAGTTTTTGATAGAATGCTCTATGTGCTTTTTCTGATAGTTTTAATTTTTGTCTGGCTGAAAATTATTCTTTCATGAAGTACATATCTCTTTGAAAACTTTGCACGTAATATAATCTGGCCTAAAACCAAGGCCTAAACTTTAAGACAAAGAAGCTTTCGCTTTGAAAACAATATGATTTCATTTAATCTCATTTTTATTTTAACTCTGTGAAAATATTACTTTCTAGGCGGAATGGGTAGCCTTGAATTATGTACCATTTGCTGAAAGGTCTTTAGAAGTAGTTGTGGATTTATACCAAAAAACAGCCTGTCACAAAGCAGTGGTGAATGAGAAAGTACTCCAGAATATTATTAAGGTATTTTTTTTAATTTCCATACTTTCATTTAATAATGTCAGTATTATTGAAATTTCTCTTTAGGTAATAATATATTATCATATATTGAGATAAATGAAAAATATAATTTGGTATTATTTATAGTTACTCTTCTCCAACATTCATGGATATTATTTAGGAAGCCGTTTTTTTTTTTTTAATTAATTTATTTATTTTTGGCTGTGTTGGGTCTTCCTTTCTGTGTGAGGGCTTTCTCTAGTTGTGGCGAGCAGGGGCCACTCTTCATCGCAGTGCACGGGCCTCTCACTCTCGTGGCCTCTCTTGTTGTGGAGCACAGGCTCCAGACACGCAGGCTCAGTAGTTGTGGCTCACAGGCCCAGTTGCTCCGCGGCATGTGGGATCCTCCCAGACCAGGGCTCGAACCCGTGTCTCCTGCATTGGCAGGCGGATTCTCAACCACTGCACCACCAGGGAAGCCCAGGAAGCCGTTTTTTTAAAACGAGAAGGTTTTTTTAATGAAAAATATTTTAAAGTAAGAGTGCATTAGATTTTTTATGATTCTTAAATTTTGCCACATAAGACAATAAGCATCCTGTTTCTTAGGACAGGATGCTCTATGATTTTGGGGCAGATGAGCCTGAGAGTGTTTCTCATCTGTAAAAGAAGGGTAATACCAGTACAAATTTCATGTCTTAACCATTAAGAGATTCAATTGAGATATGGCATTTAATGATACTTGCCAAGTAGTCAGTGTTGAATAAAAAGTTAGGTTCCCCCTTCCCTCAATAGACAAGGAAATAACTGCCTAGGGGATCTTGGCAAGGATTAACAGAAGTAACATTTGAAGAAGGAGTACCAGCAAAAAGGGAGAAGGAGATGTAGATCAATTAAGCAATATAAAAGATCATGGTATATTTTTAAAGCAGTGTTGAGAAATCCCACTTAGGGAGGTGGCAGGGCCTGGAATAAGTCTGAAAAAGTGGCTATGGGTATTACAAGCCATCATAAGGCATCAGATTTTATTCTTTAACCATTGAAGGTTTGAACATGGAGGAGTGACATGAATCAGTTTGTATTTTTTAAGGAATTAAATAATCAGTTTTCTGTACTCCAGAACACTTCATTGATGCCACTTACTACATTGCATTGTGGTTAATTGGACAAGGCTCTTCCTTCCTCAGAAATTGTGAACTTCGTGACAGCAAGAACTGAACTTTCCAGTTCCGTATACATTTACTGAGTATATACTATGTGCCAATCTCTGTATTAGTTGCTTAAATATTTTAAAAAATAAATGTATAAATCAAATATATTTGCTGTGCTTAATATTCCCTTGACATTGGTAAAATATTAATCTAGTAGTAAACCATACTTTTCATTTATCTAATCTTGAGTTATAACATGTTAATTCAGAGTGGCCGGTGTATAATTTAGTATTCTTTTGTTTGCATATGACACAAATTCAGGCTCTGACTAGCTTTAACAATAAAGGGACAGGCTTAGTTGGAAAATTCAGAGATGGAGGGCTTTAGGATTGGTTGATCCAGTGGTTCAGTACTATCACCAAAAACCAAAATTTTTTTCCCTGTTCTGCTTTCCAGGGGGTTGACTGCATCCTAACTATGTTTCTTCTCATAGTTGTAGGCTAATAAAGGGATTATATGTCAGTAGCAGGTGTGTGTTTATCAGATTCTTCTTAAGTTACTAAAATCAAGTGAATCGGCTTTAGTCCCATGCCCAGTCGTGAATCAGTGATTATGGCCAGAGAAATGGAGTAGATTGATTGGCTTAATAAACTAATCATCTCTTTACCCTAATTTCCAACTGGATGTGGGGAGGGGAAAGAGATAAATAGATTCTGGGTAGGCTAATTATCTGTTAGTGGAGGCCCATTTCATGCTAATATGTAATGGTTCACATGTTCACTGTGTGAGTATTCAGTAATCATTTGTGTGGAGGATGATGAAATCAGGTTTTATGTTCACTCCATAACATTAAAATATGAAAACGTATCTCATCTACTCTTTATCTTTCTCAGACTAGAATTTTTATATAAAAGCTGAATTTTCAGTCTAATGCACATTATCAAACGGTATGCTGAAACTATTTATTGATGGTGCTCTGGGGTAACTCACTGTGATAGTTTCGTCAGTCTAGTCTTCTAGTTGTTGGATAGTACTATGACCAGAGAAATTCATTCTGAACCACTGAATTAGTTCTTTAATGATTAACAGCAACCTGTCTCAGAAGTTGACCAATTAAAAAGTAAGTCTCAATATTTTAGTCACTAGACATAGTTCAGATGCTGTGCTGTGTTCTCAAGGGTTAATGATAAAATAAACCAAGTTCTTGAATTATCAACTTTTCTCAAATATTTGGAAAAGGAAAAAAATACATTAAAATGTTAGTGTAGAGTATAAAATTCAAAGAATTCTAAAGATAAAGTATAAGACTTCAAAGTAATGATACTCTAGGCCATATTTACCTAACCATTAGTGAAAAAATATAAGCAGTATTGATCTCTCTTGGATGGGAGAAACCCCATCAGTCAAATTATTTTCTGCCAGGAGAACTATGGCAGAATGCTCTAATTTTATAACGTCAAGTTGGAGAAGCTGCAAAATTGTAAGTTTCTTACTCTTAACTTTTCAGAAAACATCTCTATTTTTTATGATGCGAAACCGAGGTTCAAAAAGGTTATTATTCAGTCCTTATTCAGGGTCATTGTTTATAAAATGGACATAGGACTTAAAAGTATATCTTTCTAGGGAATTCCCTGGTAGTCCAGTGGTTAGGACTCTGCGCTTTCAGTGCTGAGGGTGCGGGTTCTATCCCTGTTCGGGGAGCTAAGATCCCATATGCCTCGGGAAGTGGCCAAAAAAAAAAGTATATCTTTCTAGGCAGTATGATTTGAGGACCATGTCTGAGAATTGGTCTTTCTAGAAAATAACATCCTATTTAAAATGAAAATACCTATGTTATTATTTTTTGCTCTCAGCTATAGTTTTTTTTAAGTAATTAAAGCTGTGTGTGTTTGTTTTAATTAGTATTTATCTTAAACTGTCTTTATTTTCACAGACTCTTAGGGTTCCTCTCAGTTTGAAGTATTCCTGCCCTTCCGAAAGCACATGGAAACTAGCAGTATCTTCTCTCCTCAAAGTTCTTTCTATTGGGCTACCTGTTGCCCGGCAGCATGCTTCTTCTGGAAAATTTGACAGTATGTGGCCAGAACTAGCCAACACTTTTGAAGACTTTCTCTTTACTAAAAGGTCAGCTTATTCATTTTTACAGTTAAGACAGTCTTTCAAGAAGTACACATTATACCTGTAATTGCTCTAAAAACAGTATTTCTCATTATTCATTAACAAAGTAATTCACTCTTAAGATTGCTAGATTGTATACAAAGAAGAAGTGGATTAGGCATTTATCCACTGGGTACATTATCTGTGAGCAGTGGAGATTTTTGCTGTTTACAGTGTTTTGGTTGTAAGACAGGGGTCTATATATGAGGTCACATGAATGCATCATAATTAAGGAGCCATGGTTTTAACTCGATGAAGTTAAGAAGGTCCATTTTAAAAATCTGATGCCCATTTAGCATTACAAGAGAAAAACAACTTCCGAAAATGAGTTTTTTTAAGAATAAATAAGATCATTGGTAATAACGAACAGCTCTTTAAGATGTTTAAGTTTTGCAAAGAAGAATGTAATTTTCATTGTATACATTCCAACTGAGGGTGTGTCTTAAGGATGCTATTTTGACCCCTCACTGAATGAGAATAGGGTAATTAGAATACGGAATTTTTTGAATGAGGAGTCTGCTGCAGTCTCTCTAGAGCTGTACTATCTAATACAGCAGTCACTAGCTACAATTAACTTAAATTTTTAATTAACGAAGTCACATTAATAACTCAGTTCTTCATTCTCACTAGCCACGTTTCAACATTGCCATGTGTGGCTAGTGGTTGCTCTAGTGGGTACTGCAGATCATTGAACATTCCCATCATCACAGGAAATTCCGTTTGGCAGCACTAATCTCAAATGTGCCATTTTACTAAAGATGGACTTAACCAGTAATAGCTGTGATAGGTAGGTAGTCTTCAGTACTCCTACAATCTAATTTTCCTTTGTGCTATAGTGGTGAAATTCTATGACAACAAAAGTTTTTCTATTTTTTTTTTTTTTTTTTTTTGCGGTATGCGGGCCTGTCACTGTTGTGGCCTCTCCCGTTGCGGAGCACAGGCTCCGGATGCACAGGCTCAGTGGCCATGGCTCATAGGCCCAGCTGCTCTGCAGCATGTGGGATCTTCCCGGACCGGGGCACGAACCTGTGTCCCCTGCATCGGCAGGCAGACTCTGAACCACTGCGCCACCGGGGAAGCCCCATTAATCATTCTTTAAAACTATAGAAGGATGAATGTGTCATGCACTGCTATTTAATCATTAAAAATTGTTAGTTTGAAACCATTTAAATTATAAATTTCATATACTTGAAGAAAAACCTACATTGGCATATTGATAATGATCAGATGAGTCTACACAGAATGATTTAACTGAAGAGTTTCTATCTTTCTAATGTGGTTTAGTTATTAAGTAAAGAAAAGTTGTAGAGTGCAGAAGGTTAACTTACATTTTTCTCTGTAGAGGTTTATCTGATATTTCAGAATTGGAAGTAATGACATGTGATCGTAATTTCTGTTTCCATAACTGGTCAGACTTTGTTTTGCTTTCTTATATATTTCTCAACTCTAGAAATCTTATTAATACCAATGCAAGCATATTCTTTGTATTGAATATATGCAGGAAAATGATAGTGACTCACAAAGCATATCTAAGCAAATTCTGTTTTCATTTTTAAAATAACCCTGGGTATTTGAGTTCCTTTGTGGACCCTGTTGCCTATGTCACTACGTTAATTTGTATGAAGCAAACAGATTTAGAAATTTAAACTTTTCTTTTTCTTTCTCAATTATCTGTCTGTATATGCATGTTGCCCTATTAATAAGTTGAATGAGCTTAGATCAGTTTTTTTGAAATGAGTAAAACTTCTTTAAGAATTTCTTTTCCTATGACTGAGTCTTTCCACCGTCTTTCTTATTCTCAAGTTTCTTATTGAACATTCTTCATTTTCCAAGCTTTGTTCTTATTTTATTAAATTCAGTTTCTTAAGTACTTTCTTTGTGTACAGGAAAGTAGGTAGAGAAACAAAGGCCTAATAATAGGTAATTAACATTTTATGTAATTTTTGTATTCATGCAGTTGTAGTATAATTTCATTACAGTATTTTGCCTGTTGGAGGCCCTACTTACATTAAAGGTTTGAGTATATTGAGTATGTTGAAAAATCACACAGTTTAAGAAACAGTTAACATAGAGGATAAGAGCATTGACTCAGGAGCCAGATTACCTGGATTCAAATCCCAACTGTACAACTTTGTAACTGTGATATTTTGTACAAGTTATTTATGTTTCAGTGACTAATTTTCCTCATCTGCTAAATAGGAATAGTAATGCTACCTAACTCATAGGGTTATTGTGAGGATTAAATCATTTAAATGAATGCTTAGAATAGTTCCTGGAATGTAAGTGCTTCTATTAAAATGCTTGCTCCTACTATTATCCTCATAATCATTATTTCTTTCACTTAAGAGAAACTGACATTATCCATATCCTTTACCGTGAAACAGCTATATTTTAAACTAAAAACTTAACGACCAAAACTTTAAATAACTGGGACTAGGAAATTTACCCCTAAATTTGGGGTTTTTTTAAATGGCTAGAAAAAAAATAAAGGTACTAAATTCTGGTACTAAGTAACACAGAATCAGTGTTCTAAGTTGTGGTTATTCTAGTTACACATTTAAGCCTTCTACTACATGAAGTAATAGAAAGATACCCTGTATTGAGAGTCAGGAGACCTGTGGCCTACTCTTGACTCTGCCGCCTACTTTCTGTTCACCTTGAACTGGTCATTTCCTCTCAGTTGGCATCATTGTCCTTAATTGTAAGACTAAATTAACTGATTTGACTACTTGTAAAAGTCCACAATTATTTTATGTATTTTGACTTAATGTTTTAATCAGTGTTTTTAATTGAATAGTTTACATTGATAAAGCCAATTTAGTTTTTATTTCATAGTCCAAAAATACCTTAAGGCTCAAAGTGAAAGCTTTTATTAGTTAGTTGATGATAAAAATGCAGTGCTCACTAAGAGAACTTAAAAACCATGCACACTTTCACAGTTTCATGAGAAGATTTTGCCTTTGTTTTTGTTTTCCAAATAATTGATTACTTTGGAAAATCACAAACTGTTAGATTTTAAATTTTATTTTATGGCACATATACACAATGTTCTATAATTGAAATCTATCAGTAGTAGTATTTGAACAGTAGGAAGAGTGTTTGGAATAGCATGACTTAGGTTTTTAGATAATATGAATATTTGAGTATCTTTTATATTGGAACATTTATAAGTTTTTTAACCTAATTACTGATACTCAAAGACTGTGTGAATAACCATACCTTTCTCTGTGATGTTTCCCAACTGTTTATGGTCTGCAAGCTGCTTTCATACAGTAACAGCAACAGTACAGTAACAAAGAAAACAAATAAAACCAAAATCAACTAGAAGAAACAAGAGGCTTTGGACATCACTGAGGACTATCATAAGTGAATGAATTGTTTAAATGAGTGAAAGAAAAACAATTAAAAATGAGCAACATAAGGACTGTAACCTGGTGGACACTTAAAGTCTGTTAGGAATTCATTCAGCCACCCTTTGAGTACCAAAACATGGTACTTGTCCTCTAGAAGACACGTGGGCTAGTGGGAATTGATACAATTAATAGTCTGTTGACCTTCAGTTAAAAATCACTAAGTACTACCCAAAAGAATTGAAATGAAACGTGTTCACACAAAAACTTGTACACTAATGTTTGTAGCAGCATTATAACAGCCAAAAAATGAAAACAATCCAAATGTTCAACTGATGAATGGATAAATTAAATGTGATATGTACATCCATACAGTGGAATATTCAGCCATAAAAAGGAATGAAATACTGATGCATGTTACAACATAGATGAATCTTGAAATTATTATGCTAAGTGAAAGAACCCAGACACAAAAGGCCATATATTATATGGTCTCATTTATGTGATATGTCCAGAATAGGCAAATCAGTAGAGATAGAAAATAGATTAATGGTTATCAGAGTTGGGAGGAGGGTAGAATGGGGAGTGACTACTAATGGATACAGAGTTTCTTTGGAGGTGATGAAAATGTTCTAGAAGTAAAAGAGGTGACCATTGCACAACTTTGTGAACATACTAAAAAGCTGAATTGTGCAATTTAAAAGGGTGAATTTTATGGTGTATGAATTATATCTCAAAAAATAATTTTAATGTACCATTCAGAGAGAACTGATGAAAAATACACATAATACTTTATCAGTTTGAAGCCTCTTTTCTTTCAAATAAAGATTCATGAAAAAAATTTTTTTTAATTACTAACTACTGTACTCCTCAAGCTTAGAGACTATACGGATCTTATATGGCCCATTTGTACCTGCAGTATTGACTATCTCCCTTTATAATTGATAGGTAAATTCTGTTAATCATCTGTGTTTTTAAAAGCTCGACCAATGTTTTTTGATATGCTCACAGTATCTAGAAAGGATACTAACTATAAATTAAAATAAATAAACATTAGTGTGAGTTCTGAGATCAGAAGATTCAACCTGTGCACAATTGAATAAATTCTTGATTTTATTGATCACTAGGATTAGGAGGAGTTAACCTTTCAGCTTTGTATGCTACTCTCTTCCCTCATTATAAGATATTTTAAAACTACAGTTCAGGGGCTTCCCTGGTGGCTCAGTGGTTAAGAATCTGCCTGCCAATGCAGAGGACACGGGTTTGAGCCCTGGTCCAGGAAGATTCCACAGGCCGCGGAGCAACTAAGCCTGTGCGCCACAGCTACTGAGCCTGCGCTCTAGAGCCCGTGAGCCACAACTACTGAAGCTCGTGCACCTAGAGCCTGTGCTCCACAACAAGAGAAGCCACTGAAATGAGAAGCCCTCGCACTGCAATGAAGAGGAGCCCCACCCCCGCCACAACTAGAGAAAGCCCGCGTGCAGCAACAAAGACGCAGTGCAGCCAAAAATGAACAAATAAATAAATGAAATCTATTTAAAAAATTGGAAGTCTCAAAAAAAAATAAGGTTCAGTGTTTCTGATATGTGATCCCAATAATATTAATACTGTATGTTCCTGATAAGCTTTTTTTTATTAGTACAATAGTTAGCCAGTTGGTATTTGTCTTTGTGTGTGTGTGTATTTTAATACCTGTGGTTAGATAAACCAAATAATACCAAATAGAGCAAAAATAGCTCTAGATACAAAACTCTATACTGTACCTCTAAATCTAAATATGATAATACTGTTTTTACATTTATAACTTTTATAAAAGAAAAGAACTTAGGCTCAAATATCATATAAATCTAGGTTCAAATTGTGGCCTTGTCATTTATTTACGATGTGTTCTTGGTCATATTACTAAGCCATTCGAACCTTCAGTTTCCTCTTCTGTCAATTACATGATAATACATGTGGTTACTGTGGAACATAGGAGATAATGTAAATAAAGCTCATAATACAGTGGCTGGCTTTCTAATTTTTGCTGTCATTATTATTGTTATAATCATTACCATCCTATTCTCAGCTGTTTTTAAGTGCTTAATATTTCATTGTTTCATAAGTTTAATAGAACTATACTGCTCATTCTTATTCAGAGCCACAGGGTCTAGAATTAGCTTTGGTTCCCTCGGAACTGTTGATTTATTCTGATCTTGTTGGAACACTGTTCTGTTTTAGAAAGTCTGAATCAGTCCACTTCTTTCCAGATGTTCTCTTTTACTGTAAAGATATTTAGTATATTGTATTTATTACAAATTAATGCGCAGTGGGCTGTTGCTGAATGAATAATTCAGCATCTTGACCAAGGCTCTTTTAACTTTCTCTGAAATTACTGGCAATATAAGTGAATTCAGTTTTTGTCACAGTGGTAATTTTTGCTGTAACTCCAGATGATAGTATCTTTACTTTTCTTCGTTTTTCATTCATAGTATTAAAAGAAGTTTTGTTCTACAGGTTTTATTTAGTTCAAGATTGTACTAATTATTTTTGTAGCTAGAATTTCATGTTTGTAATTAGCTTAGTCATTTATACTAATTAATTAAAAATACTGTTCTTTTAAATAACTGATAATATTCTAACTTGGGTGAGAAAATATATTTTTTTGATACTTGAATTCTGTTTATTTTCTGTTTGTATTTTAAGGAGATATTTTACCTTTAAAAATCAAGTCTTTTATTTATTTTTCTTTTAGCATACCTCCAGATAACCTCTCTATTCAAGAATTTCAAAGAAATGAAAGTATTGATGTTGAGGTGAGGAAGCTATTTAAAAGATTTTCCTGTGACCATTTATGAAAACCAAATAGTAGAAATGTTGAAACTGTAAAATTGCTAAAAAAAAAAAAAAAAAAGTAAAGTGATAGGTTGAGCTTGAACCTAAAAGCATTAAAACACAAAGGTTAAAGTTTAATTTTTAAAGCACTGACATTTAAAAAATTAATTTCTTATATTTGTTAGCTTTGTGCTGTGTGCGTGTCCAGATACTTAGCTGTGTCCATTTAATAATTTTAAAAAACAGTTGGTTTAGTAAAATAAATCCATCAGTCAGTGAGCATGTATTTGAGAGCATACTTTATAGTTTGACAAATCAGATATTTGTATTTAAATTAATCAATAAGTTGCTCAGATTTTTTATTTTTAACCAGATGTAGAAGTAAATAATGAATGTTTTTTTAAAGAATATATTTTGCTGATTATAACTGGAATTTAAAGAAGTAGTTTTTGGTTATGGATTTTTTTTGTTCGGGGGGGTTATTTTTTCCCTTTAAGTGGGATAAGGGAACTTTTAAATAAAGCAAATCAAATAAATTACATAGAAAGCATAGGCATCCTATCGATATATAGATGCAAAATATTGCCTTTTGTCCCATTGCTATGTTAACTCTTGAAAACTCTCCTCAAACTTTTCTTCTTTCTCTTCAAAAGGCAAAATCACACATTGTATGTTAGAAATAAACTAGTTAACAAAAATGAATATAACTTCTTAATGGCGCATTTTTATGGTTCTAAAAGGAGATTTAAATCATGTTCTTAACCCTGTTTTAGATACTTTATTCTAACATGGATACATTTCATATGCTGATTTTTTTCTCCAGAGCTCTCTTTGCATTTATCATGTTGCAGATCAAAATTTATTGAAGTTTTTATATAGTAAACAGTTTATAGTATTGACTATTTCGTAATAAAGTTATTTACTAAGACAGATGAGGGAAACAGACTTATTATCCTGCATATTAACATTAAAATGGTTGTATACTTCTATTAAGAAAGATTCTTTAACTGATTTTCTTTTAAAATAAAATTTAAATTTTACTCTAGAAATTATCATTTGAGTTAGTCTCTTTCAAGAAAAAAAAATACCTTTGAATTTGCATCTTTTGTTTTAGGTAGTTCAGCTTATCAGCACTGAGATACTACCTTATGCCAATTTTATTCCTAAGGAATTTGTTGGTCAGATAATGACTATGCTTAATAAGGGATCAATACATTCTCAGTCATCTTCATTTACAGGTATGTTATTTCAATATTTATTTTTTTTGATGTTAATAAGTATTGAAGCACTTTTGAAGAAGCTGACTTCTACTAGAAATGTTTACTCCTACAATTGTGGTAAATGTAAACAGGAGAATGGTTAAGAATGTGATATAGAATATTAAGCTTTATGAGGGGAAAACGTGGTAAATATTCTGTGATGAATTAAATTGCAAAGCACTTACGGAATCCACCTAAATCATTGCAGGCTGACATAAATCACCAGTTTTGTGAAGTCATGGATTATTGGGAGGTAATGAATGTGTATTCTGCCACTTAGTAGTTGGTTAAGTGTGGTTTTTTTTTTTTTTTTTTTTTTTTTGCGGTATGCGGGCCTCTCACTGCTGTGGCCTCTCCTGTTGCGGAGCACAGGCTCCAGACGCGCTGGCCCAGCAGCCATGGCTCTCGTGACCAGCCGCTCCGCGGCATGTGGGATCTTCCCAGACCGGGACACGAATCCGTGTCCCCTGCATCTGCAGGCGGACTCTCAACCACTGCGCCACCAGGGAAGCCCCCTAAGTGTCAGTTTTGTCATCTGTAAAATAAAGATATTAATACCAACCTCTCAGGACTATAATTGCAGAGCTAGTTCATTAAAAAAAAAAAATCCTTAACATTTGTTAGAACTAAGATTTAGTGAATGACCACAATGTGCAGGGTTATGCTAGAATATTAATCTCATCCCTCACAACATTTCTGTGAGGATAGGTTCTACTGTATTACAGAGGGGAAATGGGTTTAGAAAGGTTGAAAATAATTGCCCACAGTCTTAAGCCTGGAGACCAAAGTTCATCCTTAAAAAGAACCACATGCTTCTTTTGATGTACCATATTGGGAGATGAGATGTAAGTTGGTTTTTGCTATTATTTCTTTTTTTTAAACCTATGCTCAAGTGTTAAATGTAATCGTGGCACCATAATGTGATTTTTTTGGTGAGATAATTAAAAAGTTCTAAATTTGTGCCATTCATATCCTTTGTCCCCAGAATTTACTGGAGCTGTGACTAAATTCTACTAAACTGTGGTAAACACTTTAAAGAGCATTTCTATGTACAGTTTGACCACTAGATACTGCTTACTTCACAAACTGGTTCTTTTTCCTAGCCCAGACAGTTTTTAAAATTAATCTGGTAAAGTACAGGTTTGAAAACATTAGCACCTCAGAGAAAAAATTTTGAAGTCCATTTATCTTAATTTAGTCAGCTTTTTATTAAGTATATTTAAAAATTATAGATAAATTTTTTATAAAATACATTTTAAGAACCATGTTTATAATTATATGTAAATATTCTAAGCTAAATAAGGATTACCAAGTTACCATGTATACTTTTCTAGCAGTTTTCTGATGATACCTCTTGCCATTTATAATATTAAATGTACCAAGATAAAGAAGGTACATGTATGTTCTTCCAGTGACTTGACCATTGGACACAAATTTCTCAGCTTTAACTTGGACTTTTCTTTAAACATATACATACAGAGTCTTTCCTGCTAATAAACAAGACCAAGCTATAAACACAGAGGTTCCAGTGATTATTTTTGGTCCCCTGCTCTTAGGTATGATTTGACAGCCACAGCTCACAGGCGTTTGAGGAAATCTTCCAACACAAAAGACAAAGACCAAAACAAATGAAGAGAGGGTGAAAGAAACTGGTAGGAAAGAGATAAAATGCAGAGCCATAGAAAACATTTATTTAAAAAAATATATAATTAGGATGCTTAAGGAGATAAAAGATTTTACATTCATGAAACAAGAAGAATGATATTAAAATGGAACAATCAGAACACGAAAGAGCTCAAAGAAGCTAAAAATATGATAGCTGAAATATGTTCAATGGAGGGTTGGAAGAAAACATTAAGAAAATATAACCCAGAAGTAGAGCAAAGACAAACAAGTGGACAGTATGAGAAGAAAGAAATAAAATGGATCCGAGGGATCTAACATCTGACAATAGGTCTTCCAGAAAGAGAGAATAGAGAAAAGCTAGGAGAGGAAATTATCAAAGAAACAAACTGAAGATACAATTCTGCAGATTAAAAGTGGTCTCTCAGTACCCAGAATAGTGAAAGAAAAAAGACTCACAATAAGACATGTCATCATGAAATACCAGAATAATAGAAATAAAGAGAAGATGCTAAAAGATTTCAAAAAGAAAAGAAAAAAGTTCAAACACAAAAGAGTTGTATCAAAAGGCCATTGCAATTCTCAGCAACACTGGATGCTCAGAGACATTGAGGCTATGGTTTCATAGTCATAAATGGAAAAGATTTTTAACATGGCGTTTCATACCTAGGCCCACTGTTGGCCAAGTGAGGAGTGTAGAATGGTAATTCTCAAATGTCAGTGTGCATTATCCTCACCTGGAGTGAAGTCATTGCTGGACTGTAACCCCAGAGTTTCTGATTCAGTAGGTCTGGGGTGAGGCATGAGAATTTGCATTTCTAACAAGTTCTCTGGTGGTGCTGATGCTGCTAGGAACCACACTTTGAGTACCACAGTAAAATGACACTTTCAGAAATGTAAGGTCTCAAAATTTTTACTTCCCATTCACTTTCTCAGGTACTACAGAGTATGCCTTGTGAAAACAAAGGAGTAAATCAAAAAAAGGGAAAGCATGAGGTCTAGAAAGTAAGATATAACACAAGAGAGGAAAAAAACAACTCGCAGGGTCAGGCCAAAGACTAGTTCCAGGATATAACTGGACAGTATGTCCAGAGAGCAACTAGTCCAGACTGGAGCAGAGGTCAGGGTCCAGGGAAGATGTTGCCAAGAGAAAAAAAGAAACAGACAGACAAACGGATTATTCCAAGTTTGACCATGTAGAAGATTGTTGAGAGGTACTCTAGTGCTGTAGAAGTGTATAAAAAGACCAAGACAAGACAAATGTTGAAGTGATGAGAGTGGATAGTCTTGCCTTGTTTTTTAACCTTGCAAGGAGGAAAACTGTTTCTGTGTGTGTGTGTGCGTGTGCGTGTGTGTGTGTGTGTATGGTATAAGTTTTTCATAGATGCTCTTTATCAGTTAAGGAATTTCCTTCTATTCCTAGTTTGCTAAGAATCGTGTCATTAAGGTGTATTTATTTAACCTTGTATTAACCATCAAACATTGTTAATTCTACAGAAGCAGAGATTGATATTCGTTTGAGAGAAGAATTTTCTAAAATGTGTTTTGAAACACTGCTCCAGTTTTCCTTCAGCAATAAAGTCACAACACCTCAAGAAGGCTACATCTCACGGATGGCACTCTCAGTGCTTCTAAAGAGGTCTCAAGATGTACTACATCGTTATATAGAGGATGAAAGATTAAGTGGTAAATGCCCTCTTCCAAGGTATATGTATATATGTATTTTTTTAATTAAAGAAGGAAATACACTGTCATAGTTATTAATACTTTTAAAAAGCTCTGGAAATCAAGTGTTTTCATAAGTGATCTGAACTTAACCTGAGGCTGTTTATAATTTTATTTATCCCATACAGTGTAAATATTCATAAGTTTTGCTGCAGATATATTACTGTGTTTTATTATGGGGTGCTTTTTCATACTGCTTATGGAGGTTAAGTAATATATGGTATATATACCAAATTACTTATTTTAATTCGAAAAAAATTGAATTCTAAAATATATCTTCTCAAGGATTTCTGGGTAAGGACTTGTCGATCTGTATGAACACATGATCGTGAATCTCTCTAGAGAGAAAATAATAGATAAATCATACTTTATGAACTTCCTAATTTGTTTTACAGTTATTTCTAGGTTTCTCTGTAAGTCATCTAGCCATATCTTTGATCTTCTTTTCATCTAATTTGCTTAATTAAGCCCTTGTACCTAAACTGATTTGCTTCTCATGTAGTCATGCCATGCCAGTTGAAGGGGATCTAGGTCTTTCTGCTAAGCCAAGGCTAATCAAAGTTGGGGTATATATCAGAATTCATCAAAAAATACAATCATAAATTGCAGTTATGTTGCCAATCTATTTTTTTTTTTGCGGTACGCGGGCCTCTCACTGTTGTCGCCTCTCCCATTGCGGAGCACAGGCTCCAGATGCGTAGGCTCAGCGGCCCTGGCTCTCGGGCCCAGCCGCTGCGCGGCATGTGGGATCTTTCCGGACCGGGGCACGAACCCGTGTCCCCTGCATCGGCAGGTGGACTCTCAACCACCGTGCCACCAGGGAAGCCCCTCCAATCTATTTTTTAATGTGTAAGTTAGAGGTTAAGGCAAAGCAAATGAAGCAAACAGAAAATAATATTGGAAGACAAAGTTATCAAAGAAGCAAACAGAAAATAATATTGGAAGACAAAGTTATCAAAGTCAGGAAAGAGTTAGGAAAATCATTCCAGGTCCCATCTCATAAGGCAGTAAATCAGTAACCCTAAGTCTTTGTTTACATTCTTATTTACTTAGAATAAATCTCCAGAGTTGGGATTGACCTGTCAAAAGATACAGACATTTTAAAAGGTTTTGATATATATTAAAAATTGCCTGTTAGAGACTTCTATCAGTTTATTTTCTCCCAGGAGTATATGACTGTCTTTTCCCTCAATTTTTAGCAGTTTAAAATTATTTGCCACTTTATCACTTATTTTTTCTTTTTAAAAATTTGATGAATGAAGAAATATCCGCTTTTTTTAAAATTTTTCTTTTCTTTTTTTAATTACCAATGCTTATTTGCCATTTGTATTTCTACTTCTAGCATCCACTGTATTTTGAATTTCTAGAACATAAATTATACCTCCTAGTGGATTTTATACAAAAACATTCCAAAGACATGTTAATAATTTGGTTATTGTCATGATTGAAAATTGATTTATTAAAATTGACCTCTGAAGCATACTTGGAAAAGCAGTAATGGAGTTGTTGCCTTGATTGGAATATTTTTATTGGAGTATAAGATATTATTCGATTTCAGAAAGCAGCTTTCCTTCATTTTTTGTGTTTTAAGTGTTTATTGCTTTAAATTGAGTCTTATTTATAGTTGTTATATTGTATCATCCTGTGTTTGATGCAGTATTATTGCATTATTTTCTAAAAAGCTACACTGCAACACAATAAAATATTTGTATACTTACAAAGGGAGGCTTGAAATAGTACCCTGTCATAGTATTAGGAAAATCTTATCTGTTGAGTGATAACACAGATTCATACCAGGAGTAGGGTGTGGGGGAGGACTATAGAGCAGAAGAGATATATTTCTGCAAGGATAAAGAAAGAAATCAAACTACTCTTGTTGGTCCTTTACTCCAAGTTTATTCTTCATTGCTAATGTCTCCAAACAGTGTCACCTTGGGGTTGATTTTGAGCATATTTCTTATTTGTTGTTTTAGAAAGTTAAATAAGTACTATTGTGATTTTAAAGATACTTTTCACAGCATGATAAAATATGTGAAGGGGGTAATAGTGATCTTTATTTCCCTTTAAGCTTTGGCAAATCTCTTTTAGTACTAATAAGTTAAAAAAAAAAAAAAAGAAAAACTGCTGTAGAAGTTTTAAAAGCACATCTTGTACAGTGTTTTAATTTGAAGTAGTTCTATGAAATACCTTACTAATAAATTTAGATTTGCATGAGTAGATTGCCTCCCCCATTTTAATGTTGATAACTTAGAATAACTATAAATCTTAATTGCACACTGAAGTACATGTTAATGAAATGATTTTCTTTTATAAGAATTTAAAACTGATATTAACTTTGCATTGTTTTGTGTTTAATGTTTTCCAGAGTATGTCTATTTGTATAACTTAGTACAAAACACACATGGCATATCTTGAAATCTTGATGGAAATAATTTCCCATCTTTTTTTTAGGCAACAAGTAACAGAAATCATATTTGTCTTAAAAGCAGTCAGTACTCTCATTGATTCACTTAAGAAAACTCAGCCTGAGAATGGTAAGTGCTTGGAAACTCAGTTATTCTAAATTTATAACATTTATGTTCTATTTGTGTTGTATTTTTATACTACTATTAAGTTAACTGAGTTTTAGGAACATAACAGCTATAAGACATTTTTCTCCAGACCTTATGACAACAAAGCAGCAAGTCCATTAGGATATCAATTAAGTAAAATTACTTTGTAATGTTTTCTTTATTTTAAGCAAATTTTGCTGACTTTTTTCCCCCCAGCTTTGAGATGTGGTTGACATACAACCGTGTATAAGTTGAAGGTATACAACTTGTTGATTTGATACCTTTTTATATTGCAATATGTTTACTATGGAAGTGTTAGCTAACACCTCCATCATGTCACACAATTACCATTCCTTGTCTGTGCTGAGAACATTTTAAGATCTACTCTCTTAGCAACTTGCAAGTATATAACACAGTATTATTAACTGTAATCACCATGCTGTATACTAAATCCCTGGAATTTATTCATCTTATACCTGGAAGTTTGTACCCTTTGACCAACATCTACCCATTTCCCTGACTCTCCCAGAATTGGCAACCACCATTCTACCCTCTGTTTCTAGGAGTTCAGCTTTTTTAGATTCCACATATAAGCAATATCATAATATAGTATTTGTCTTTCTCTATGTGACATTTCACTTAACATAATGCCCTCAGGTCCATCCCATTGTCTCAAAAGGCAGGATTTTCCTCTTTCTCACGGGTGAATAATATTTTGTTGTGTGTGTGTGTATATGTGTGTTTACAAATACATATAAATATACATATACACATGTAGCACATCATTATCCATTCATCCATTAATGGACACTTAGGTTGTTTCTATGTCTTGGCTATTGTGAGTAATGCTACAATGAACATTGGGAGTGCGGTTATCTCTTTGAGATCCTGTTTCCTTTTTCTTTGGACATATGCCTAGAAGTGGAATTGCTGGATCATACGGTAGTTCTATTTTTAATTTTTTGAGGAAACGCTATACAGTTTTTCATGGTGGTTGTACTAAATTACATTCCCATGCACAGGGCACAAGGCTTCCCTTTTCTCCACATCCTTGCTAACACTTAATATTTCTTCTTTTTTTGATGGCACCATTCAAACAGGTTTGAAGTGATACCTCCTTGTGGTTTATTATTATTTTATTTATCGAGTACGATTGGTTTATAACATTATATGTTTCATGTGTACAACATTATATTTTTACTTGTGTATATACTACACTACTGTGCTCACCACCAAAAGTTTAGTTTTTATCCATCACCATACAGGTGTCCCCCTTTATCCATTTCACCCTCCCCCATCTCCCTTCCCTTCTGGTAACCACTACTCTGTTCTCTGTATCTATGTGTTTGTTTTTATTTGGTTTGGTTTGTTTATTAATTTTTTTAAAAAATATTCCACATATGGGTGAAATCATACAGTATTTGTCTTTCTCCATCTGACTTATTTTGCTTAGCATAATACCCTCAAGTTCCATCATGCTGTTGCAAATGGCAAGATTTCCTTCTTTTTTATGGCTGAGTAGTAGTATCCCATTGTATATATATGTATATATGTGTGTGTGTGTGTGTGTGTGTGTATAGAGCATTGTCTTTAGCCATTAATCCATTGATGTTTCCATTTCTTGGCTATTGTAAATAATGCTATGATGACCATGGGATGCATGTATCTTTTCAGATTAGTATTTTCGTATTCTTCAGATAAATGCCCAGAAGTGTAATTGCTGGATCATATGGTAGTTCTAGTCTTAATTTTTTGAGGAACCTCCATACTGTTTTCCATAGTGGCTACACAAATTTACATTTTCACTGACATTGTATAAGGATTCCCTTTCCCCCCCACATTCTAACATTTGTTATTTTCTTGCCTTTTCAATAGTAGTCATTCTAATGGGCATGAGGTTATATTTCATTGTGGTTTTGATTTGCATCTCCCTAATGATTAGTCATGTTGAGAATCTTTTCATGTGCCTATGGCCATCTGTATGTCTTTTTTTTTTTTAATAAATTTATTTATTTTATTTATTTATTTTTTGGCTGCATTGGGTCTTCGTTGCTGCACGCAGGCTTTCTCTAGTTGTGTTGAGCGGGGGCTGCTCTTCGTTGAGGTGCACAGGCTTCCACTGTGATGGCTTCTCTTGTTGCGGAGCACAGGCTCTCGGTACGCGGGCTTCAGTAGTTGCAGCACGCAGGCTCAGTAGTTGTGGCACACGTGCTTAGTTGCTGCAGCCTGTGGGATCTTCCCGGACCAGGGCTCGAACCCGTGTCCCCTGCATTGGCAGGTGGATTCTTAACCACTCTGCCACCAGGGAAGCCCCATCTATATGTCTTTTTTGGAAAAATGTCTATTCAGATCCTCTGCCCATTTTTTAATAGAGTTGTTTGTTTTTTTGTTGTTGAGTTGTATAAGTTCTTTATGTATTTTGGATATTAACCCCTTATCAGATATAATGATTTGCAAATATCTTCTTCCATTTGGTAGGTAATCTTTTCATTTTGTTGACAGTTTCCTTTACTGTGCAGAAGCTTTTTAGTTTGATACACTCTCATTTATTTATTTTTGCTTTTCTTACCCTTGCCTGGGGAGATATATCCAGAAAGATATTTCTAAGACCAGTGTGAATGAGTGTACTGCCTATGTTTTTGTCTAGGATTTTTATGGTTTCAGGTCTTACATTCAAGTCTTTAATCCATTTTGAGTTGATTTTTGTGTCTGGTGTAAGATAAGTAATATAGTGGTCTAGTTTTATTCTTTTGCGTCTGGCTGTCCAGTTCTCCCAACGCCTCTTATTGAAGACACTGTCTTTTCTCCACTGTATGTTCTTTGTTCTTTTGATGTAAATTAATTTTCCATATATGTGTGGGTTTATTTCTAGGCTCTCAACTGAATTCCATTGATCTGTGTGTCTGTTTTGCTGGCAATACCAGGATGTTTTGATTGCTACAGTTTTGTAGTATAATTTGAAAACAGGGAGTGTGATACCTACAGCTTTGTTCTTTTTTTCTCAGGATTGCTTTGCTCTTCAGGGTCTTTTGTGGTTCCATATAAATTTTAGGATTTTTTTGTTCTATTTCTGTGAAAAATATCATTGGGATTTTGATAGGGATTACATTGACTCTGTAGATTGCTTCAGGTAATATGGACATTTTAACAATGTTAATTCTTCCAGTCCATGAGTATGGAATATCTTTCTATTCCTTTGCATCTTCTTCAGTTTCTTTCACCAGTGTCTTATAGTTTTCAGTGTACAGGTTCTTTCACCTCCTTGGTTAAATTTGTTCCTAGGTATTTTATTCTTTTTGCTGCGATTGTAAATGAGACTGTTTTCCTGATTTCTCTTTGATAGTTTGTTGCTAGTGTACAGAATGCAACAGATTTTGTATGTTGATTTCATACCCTGAAACTTTAATATATTCATTTATTATTCCTGACAGTTTTTTGGTGGAGTCTTTAGGATTTCTATATATAAAATCATGTCATCCAGAAATAGTGATAGTTTTATGTCTTCCTTTCCAATTTTGATGCCTTTTATTTCTTTCTCTTGCCTAATTGCTTTGGTTAGGACTTCCAATACCATGTTGAATAAGAGTGGTGAGAGTGGGTATTCTTGTCCTTTTCCTGATCTTAGAGAGATGGCTTTCAATTTTTCACCACTGTGTATGATGTTAGCTGTGGGTTTGTCATACAGCTTTTATTATTGTTGAGGTACAGTCCTCTATATCCATTTTATTGAGAGTTTTTATTAGAAAAATAGGCGTTGAATCTTGTCAAATGCTTTTCCTGTATCTGTTGAGATGATCATAAGGCTTTTATCCATTTTGTTAATGTGGTGTATCATGTTGATTAATTTGCAGTTGAAATTAATTTGTATCTCTGGAATAAATCCCGCTTAATGATTGTGTATGATCCTTTCAACTTATTGTTGAGTTCAGTTTGCTAATATTTTGTTGACAGTGTTTGCATTTATGTTCAACAGACATATTGGCTTGCAGTTTTCTTTTTTCTTTTTGTCCTTATTTGATTTTGGTATCAGGGTAATGGCGGCCTTGTAAAATGAGTTAGGAAGCATTCCCTCCCCTTCTATTTTTTGGAAGAATTTAGGAAGCATTAGTATTAAATTTTCTTTGAATGTTTAGTAGAATTCACCTGTGAAGCCATCTGGCCCTGGATTTTTGTTTTTTTTTTTTTTTTTTTTTTTGGATTTTTGTTTTTTTATGAGGTTTTTTATTACCGTTTCAGTCCCCTTGCTAGTGATCAGTCTATTCGGATTTCCTGTTTCTTCATGATTCAGTCTTGGAAGATTGTATGATTCTGAGAATTTATCCATTTCATCTATGTTGTCCATTTTGTTGGCATATAGCTGTTCATAGTATTCTCATAATGTTTTCTATTTTTGTGGTATCTGTTATTTCTCTTTTTTTTTTTTTTTTAATTTTTTTGGCCATGCTGCATGGTATGCGGGATCTTAGTTCCCCAACCAGGGATCAGGCTCATGCCCCCTGCAGTGGAAGCACAGAGCCTTAACCACTGGACCACCAGGGAAGTCCATCTCCTCTTTTGTTTTTGATTTTATTCATCTAAGCCTTCTCTTTTTTCCTCAGTGAGTCTAGCTAAAGGTTTCTCAGTTTTATTGCTCTTTTTTAAGAAGCAGCTCTTAGTTTTATTGATCTTTGCTATTGTCTTTTTAGTCTCTATTTCAGTTATTTCTGCTCTGCTGTTTATTATTTCCTTTCTTCCACTGACTTTGGGCTTCATTTGTCCTTTTCTAGTTCCTTTAGGTGTAAGGTTAGATTTTTTGAGATTTTTGTTGTTTCTTGAGGCAGGCCTGTATTGCTATAAACTTCCCCATAAATACCACTTTTGCTGCATCCCATAGATTTTGGAATGTTGTATTTTTGTTTCCATTTGTCTTCAGGTGTTTTTAAAATTTATCCTTTGCTTTCTTCATTGACCCAATAGTTGTTCAGTAGCATGTTTCTTTAGTT